CTGGTCCCTCTCTCTGGTCTCTCTCTGTGGTCCCTCCCTCTGGTCTCTCTCTGGTCCCTCTCTCTGGTCTCTCTCTCTGGTCCCTCTCTCTGGTCTCTCTCTCTGGTCTCTCCCTCTGGTCTCTCTCTGGTCTCTCTCTCTGGTCCCTCCCTCTGGTCTCTCTCTGGACCCTTTCTCTGGTCTCTCTCTCTGGTCCCTCCCTCTGGTCTCTCTCTCTGGTCCCTCTCTCTGGTCTCTCTCTCTGTTCCCTCTCTCTGGTCTCTCTCTGGTCTCTCTCTCTGGTCCCTCCCTCTGGTCTCTCTCTCTGGTCCCTCTCTCTGGTCTCTCTCTCTGTTCCCTCTCTCTGGTCTCTCTCTGGTCCCTCTCTCTGGTCTCTCTCTCTGGTCCCTCCCTCTGGTCTCTCTCTGGTCCCTCTCTCTGGTCTCTCTCTCTGGTCCCTCTCTCTGGTCTCTCTCTCTGGTCCCTCCCTCTGGTCTCTCTCTCTGTTCCCTCTCTCTGGTCTCTCTCTGGTCCCTCTCTCTGGTCTCTCTCTCTGTTCCCTCTCTCTGGTCTCTCTCTGGTCTCTCTCTCTGGTCCCTCCCTCTGGTCTCTCTCTCTGTTCCCTCTCTCTGGTCTCTCTCTGGTCCCTCTCTCTGGTCTCTCTCTCTGGTCCCTCCCTCTGGTCTCTCTCTGGTCCCTCCCTCTGGTCTCTCTCTGGTCCCTCCCTATACAATACTCAATACAAATCTTGTTTTTGGCGGTATTCAGACCTCTATTAAAATCAAACTGAAACATTTCACATATTTTTGTATCTCTCCTTTCTCCTCTCTTTCATGTAATAATTCCACATTTTTTAAATACATAAACGCTTTTTCAGGTCAGTCATTTGCTCTGGCATTTCTCTCTTGAAAATATATTCCCAGAGCCCAATGGGAGGTCGTCTCATAATCACTCCTTTGATTTATTGCGAGATTTATTGCACGAGACAGAACACTGGCCCCTGAAGTCTCCATAACGAGAAGGTCACGCACAGTCATATTTCTGAGGTTTGTAGCTTTGATTGCGGCCGCATTCACAGATGATTTGTTTAAAGGCTTCTACAACACATTTATTTCCATCGCTTGGGAATTATTCACGCAAATCTTGTGCTGACGATAGATGTGGACCGCAGAAATCTCCACATCTGACCTGTTTGTTGGAGAAATAACAATCACGTCAGGGGAGATTCTTCAACAACATATGACGCTAGTATAACATGGTCTCGCTTTCTGGTCTCTCTCTCTCTGGTCTCTGTCTGTTCTCTCTCTGGTCTTTCTCTGGTCTCCTTCTTGTTTCTCTCTGTGGTCTCTCTGTGGTCTCTGGTTTCTCTGTGGTCTCTCTCTCTAGTCTCTCCTGTCTCTTTCTGGTCTCTCTCTGATCTCTCTGTGTTCTCTCTCTGGTTTCTCTGTGTTCTCTCTCTCTGGTCTCCCTCTGGTCTCTGCTGTCTCTCTCTGGTTTCTCTGTGGTCTCTCTCTCGTATCTCCCTCGTATCTCTCTGGTCTTTCTGTGGTCTCTCTCTGGTATCTCCCTGGTCTCTTTCTGGTCTTTCTGTGGTCTCTCTCTGGTATCTCTGTCTCTCTAGTCCATCTAGATAACCTGTCTCCCTCCTGAGTGTCTTGCTCCACCCATCTCTCTCTCTGCTCCTCCTCTGCAGCTCTCTTCACTGTCCCCACAGTCGAAAGAGCCATGATGGGGTCCAGAGCATTCAGCCTCTGCCCCCAAACTCTGGAACACTCTACAACTTGACCTGCGACTGTTCGACTCATCTCCAAAACCCACCTTGGCTTACTCTTTGTGATGTTAAAATGTTTTATATTCTGTACTTTTAATGATGTTTGTGATGTTTTTAATATTTTGTAAAGGCCCATGAAATACAATGAATTATTGTTATTATCTGGTGTCTCTCTAGTCTCTCTGGTCTCTCTTTGGTGTCGCTGGTGTCTCTCTGGTCTCTCTCTGGTCTCTCTCTCTCTCTATCTGTTGTATTTATGGATATTGTTACAATGTACTTCACTGTAACCTTTTCCTTTTTCTTGTATGTAATAATTCTTGTTCTCTAAACTGGAAATCAGGGTGGGATTAAATCATTTCTCTTCTTCCCACTCACTTTGTTTTGCTTTTATTTATGTTTGCCTGAAATAAATGAATAAAAGAAAACGCCAGGACTCATTAATTAACTAAGGATACAACACAACTACAGCTACTGTAAATACTTACATTTGTCAATCACTGTGTATTTACTGTGCCCTTGTATTTATGAAGCACACGGTTGTTTTTGAAGTTCCATCTTGTGTGTGCAACGTGTCCCTACGGACCGTACAATATTCTATAAAAGTCTTGTGTTTGGCGGCGCTTGAAGAAACAGATTCTCGCAGGTTGTTCCCTCTGAGACTGTGGTGGTGATGTGTCTTTGCTGCAGGGTCTCTCTCTGGTCTTCTCTCATGTCTCTCTCTCTCTGGACTCTCTCTGGTCTCTCTCTTGTCTCTCTCTGGTCTCTCTCTTGTCTCTCTCTGGTCTCTCTCTGGTCTTCTCTCTGGTCTCTCTCTCTCTGGTCTTCTCTCTGGTCTCTCTCTCTCTCTGGTCGTCTCTCTGGTCTCTCTCTGGTCTCTCTCTGGTCTCTCTCTGGTCTCTTTCTGGTCTCTCTGGTCTTCTCTCTGGTCTCTCGCTCTCTGGTCTTCTCTCTGGTCTCTCTCTCTCTCTGGTCGTCTCTCTGGTCTCTCTCTCTGGTCTTATCTCTGGTCTCTCTCTGGTCTTATCTCTGGTCTCTCTCTGGTCTTATCTCTGGTCTTATCTCTGGTCTCTCTCTGGTGTCTCTCTGGTCTCTCTCTGGTCTTATCTCTGGTCTCTCTCTGGTCTCTCTCTGGTCTCTCTCTGGTCTCTCTCTGGTCTCTCTCTGGTCTTATCTCTGGTCTCTCTCTGGTCTCTCTCTGGTCTCTCTCTGGTCTCTCTCTGGTCTCTCTCTGGTCTCTCTCTGGTCTCTCTCTGGTCTTATCTCTGGTCTCTCTCTGGTCTCTCTCTGGTCTCTCTCTGGTCTCTCTCTGGTCTTATCTCTGGTCTCTCTCTGGTCTCTCATGTGTATCACCTGTGTTTCGTAGTCTTGTGTTTAAACCCTGTGTTTTCCTTCACTCCCTGTTCTCATTGTCCACATCTGTTTTAGTTCTTGTCTTCAGTCCCTGTTTGGTTATATTTTTCTCTGGTTTGTATTTTTTTGGAAATACATTGTTTTTGCAGTTCTGCTTTTTACTCTGTGACAACATCAGGTTACAGAAGAAATCCCACAATATTGTGAGTGTTTTTGTGTGTGTATGAGTGTATTTAGTGCATATCATTTCTGGCTCCACAATACTTGGACATATATATTAAATGAGACATAACAGTGACCAATACAAAGTCATTTTACCTTGTCATACACACACACACACACTAGTGTTGCGTGTTATTGCTCATAACACGCAACACTAGCCTCAGTCCCACCGAAAAAAGTTCCAATCTATGTTCTTCAATTTCTTTTTACCATGTTGATTCAATTTCAAATATTTTACTGTGAATTTGCTAAAACATGTTTAAAGTCACGTGATCTTCTGGACAAGATATTCACACATTCTACTTGAGAAATGATTCTGTTTTGTACATCACCGTGAAATATTCTCATATTGTTTCTTTTTGAGCTCCATCTCTCTCAGAGCACCTTTCTCCCTCTCTCCTCTCTCCATATTCATGAACACTCACCTCGGACTAAGTGGCTGCTTCTAAAGAGCTTGGCATTTGCGGTGCATTTGTGGTCCTGATCACGGATGTTGACTTCTGGAGCGTTACGTTTGACTGCCCACCTCCCTGCCCACTTCGCTGCCTCTGCTCGGGGGTAATTAGCTCCTGTCCAGTGGCCTCCCTCTGGGCCACTTCTCGACACTTGGCCTTTGATAAGAGGCAGGCTGGAGAGAGGCCTCATTATCACATCAGCCCAGCGAGGAGGGCTGTGTTCAGGGATCAGAGCCAGCGGGACAGGCCATCGGGACAGACCAGCGGCTGGAGCCTGAATTAGCAACACATCTACAGGTAGCTGGGATTTATTAAAGTCTGGTTCTCCCACACAGTGGAGGGGAGCAGGGTCCTCATCATAGACTGTATATAGATGGACAATGCTAACATGCTAGCTCAATAAGGACGAGTATTTTAATGCATGGGTTTTATTTTGTGCTTTTCTGGACACTCAAAGACGCTTCACATGGCATGCGCCTCCTGTACTGGCAACCCTGCTCCCATCTCTGTGTGGAGTGAGAGACAAATGTAAACCGCTTTGTGACTCTGGTCTGTTCAGGGCGGCACGGTGGCTGAGTGGATAGTACGCTTGCCTCTCAGCAAGAAGGTCCTGGGTTCGAATCCTGATCAGAACGGGGTCTTTCTGAGTGGAGTTTGCATGGTCTCCCCGTGCTTGTGTAGGTTTCCTCCGGGTACTCCTGTTTCCCCTACCACTAAAAACATGCATACTAGGTAAAATCCTCCAGCTCTGGTAGTCCTGACCAAGCCGAGCATCAACATCTGGAGATGGGTTCCCGGGGGCTGTACTTCGACAACCACAGCTCCTAACGAAAGCATCAGGACGGGTCAAATGCAGAGGATGAATTGCCCAACGGGGATCAATAAAGTGCACCTTTACAGTGAACTAAAGAGTTGAGTTGAGCCAAAATTGGTAGAGAGAAGGCGAGGGATCAAAAGTCACTCAGAGAGCACTGGGATCACATTCACAAATGTCACTTTCTCTTTGTTTCTGAATGCAGTCATTTTAAACAGAGCTTGAGTCTCACACTTTTGAACTACAGCAACATTGAGTCAATCTTTCTCGTCTCAGATTCTATTACCAGCGAAAAGGCGGCTCACAACAACACCACCGCAGTCTTTGGCCTCCTCCGCTATTCCCTGCACTTTCTCCTCACCTTCTATTTTCTCCTGAGACACAAAAACACGACGCTCCACTTTAGACGATGCTGTGGTTCGTGCAGGTCGCTCCTTCAGCTCGTCCACTTTAAAGTCTGCAAAAGTGCGAGGCCAAACTTCAGAGAGCGAAGCGAGCCCAGGAGCCGGACCCCGCGGGAGCTTTGAACTGCATTCAGGTTACAACCCCAGAGACGAGACGCAACAAACAATTCCCAGGCCGCGAGGGGAAGGTGGAGGTAACAAGCTGCTCCATTCTGTCTGTGCACTCGAGGTAAGCCGGGCCTCACGCAGCAGCAAGAATACAGAGGAGAGAAGAGAAGAGAGGACTGAGGAGAAGAGGAGAGAGGACTGAGGAGAAGAGGAGAGAGGAGAGAAGGGTGAGGAGGGAGGACTGAGGAGAGAAGAGGGAGGACAGAAGATAGAGGACTGATGAGGGAGGACAGAGGAGAGAGGACTGGAGGAGAGAGGACTGGAGGAGAGAGAAGGGAGGAGAGAGGACGGAGGAGAGAGGACTAGGGAGAGAGGACAGAAGAGAGAAGGGCGGAGAGAGGAGGGAGGAGAGAGAAGGGAGGAGAGAGGACTAGGGAGAGAGGACAGAAGAGAGGAGGGAGGAGAGAGGAGGGAGGAGAGAGGACTAGGGAGAGAGGACAGAAGAGAGGAGGGAGGAGAGAGAAGGGAGGAGAGAGGAGGGAGGAGAGAGGACAGAGGAGAGGAGGGAGGAGAGAGGAGGGAGGAGAGAGGACTAGGGAGAGAGGACAGAAGAGAGGAGGGAGGAGAGAGAAGGGAGGAGAGAGGAGGGAGGAGAGAGGACTGAGGAGAGAGGACAGAGGAGAGAGAGAAGGGAGGAGAGAGGAGGGGAGGACAGAGGAGAGGGGACTGAGGAGAGTGGAGAGAGGAAAGAGGAGAGAGGACTAGGGAGAGAGGACAGAAGAGAGGAGGGAGGAGAGAGAAGGGAGGAGAGAGGAGGGAGGAGAGAGGACTAAGGGGAGAGGACAGAAGAGAGAGAAGGGAGGAGAGAGAGAAGAGAGAGGACAGAGGAATGAGGAGAGATGACAAAGGAGAGAAGAGGGAGGAGAGGAGAGAGGACTGACGGAACAACAAAAACACCAAAGTTCTGCAGGAGAGAGGAGAACGAGGAGGAGAAACCAAGAAAACCTGGATAGTAATTATTTCACAAAAGCAGAAACACAATCCCGAATCAATTGTGGGAGTGAACAAGGCAAAGCGATTAGTTGTTTTTGTTTTGAGTGCGGCGAGGAAACAATGGAAATGGGACGGATTAGAGGTTTACAGAGTCGCAATCATTGGATAAAACCTGGTAATCGTGCGGATTTGAGGCGTGAAGAGAAAACAGTGATTTCAAGGCTTTGGCTGTGAGACTTTGGAGCTGAATGTGTTCAAACAGAAGGTTTTTTGTTATATCTGTGAACATATATGTACAATGATGGTCTTCTCTTTGGTCCTGAAAGATCATTTTTTTTTATTTTTTGGACATCTTGTGAGATAATGATACTTTTTGCTCCGTCGAGAAACATCTTTGAAGGGTAAATAATGCTTTCAGTCTGTAACTCTCTGTACTGCCACCAGAGGGAGCTGTGATTGTAAAGACCTGTTAACATAAATAACATAACATAGATTACTAAATTAACATAACTAATTTAGGGACAATACTTTTGTTTTAAAAGACAGAAAATAGCTCTGAGTGTGATGTCATAGTCAAAAAATGACATCATACTATTCTCTCTCCTCAGTCCTCTCTTCTCTCTCCTCAGTCCTCTCTTCTCTCTCCTCAGTCCTCTCTTCTCTCACCTCAGTCCTCTCTTCTCTCTCCTCAGTCCTCTCTTCTCTCTCCTCAGTCCTCTCTTCTCTCTCCTCAGTCCTCTCTTCTCTCTCCTCAGTCCTCTCTTTTCTCTCCTCAGTCCTCTCTTCTCTCTCCTCAGTCCTCTCTTCTCTCTCCTCAGTCCTCTCTCTCTCTCTCCTCAGTCCTCTCTTCTCTCACCTCAGTCCTCTCTTCTCTCTCCTCAGTCCTCTCTTCTCTCTCCTCAGTCCTCTCTTCTCTCTCCTCAGTCCCTCTCTTCTCTCCCTCCTCAGTCCTCTCTTCTCTCACCTCAGTCCTCTCTTCTCTTCTCTCTCCTCAGTCCTCTCTTCTCTCTCCTCAGTCCTCTCTTCTCTCTCCTCAGTCCTCTCTTCTCTCTCCTCAGTCCTCTCTTCTCTCACCTCAGTCCTCTCTTCTCTCTCCTCAGTCCTCTCTTCTCTCTCCTCAGTCCTCTCTTCTCTCTCCTCAGTCCTCTCTTCTCTCTCCTCAGTCCTCTCTTCTCTCTCCTCAGTCCTCTCTTCTCTCACCTCAGTCCTCTCTTCTCTCTCCTCAGTCCTCTCTCTCTCTCTCCTCAGTCCTCTCTTCTCTCACCTCAGTCCTCTCTTCTCTTCTCTCTCCTCAGTCCTCTCTTCTCTCTCCTCAGTCCTCTCTTCTCTTCTCTCTCCTCAGTCCTCTTCTCTCTCTCTCTTCTCTCCTCAGTCCCTCTCCTCACTCCTCAGTCCTCTCTCTCTCTCCTCAGTCCTCTCTTCTCTCTCCTCAGTCCTCTCTTCTCTCTCCTCAGTCCTCTCTTCTCTCACCTCAGTCCTCTCTTCTCTCTCCTCAGTCCTCTCTTCTCTCTCCTCAGTCCTCTCTTCTCTCTCCTCAGTCCTCTCTTCTCTCTCCTCAGTCCTCTCTTCTCTCTCCTCAGTCCTCTCTTCTCTCACCTCAGTCCTCTCTTCTCTCTCCTCAGTCCTCTCTTCTCTCTCCTCAGTCCTCTCTTCTCTCACCTCAGTCCTCTCTTCTCTTCTCTCTCCTCAGTCCTCTCTTCTCTCTCCTCAGTCCTCTCTTCTCTTCTCTCTCCTCAGTCCTCTCCTCACTCCTCAGTCCTCTCTTCTCTCACCTCAGTCCTCTCTTCTCTTCTCTCTCCTCAGTCCTCTCTTCTCTCTCCTCAGTCCTCTCTTCTCTCTCCTCAGTCCTCTCTTCTCTCACCTCAGTCCTCTCTTCTCTCTCCTCAGTCCTCTCTTCTCTCACCTCAGTCCTCTCTTCTCTCTCCTCAGTCCTCTCTTCTCTCTCCTCAGTCCTCTCTTCTCTCTCCTCAGTCCTCTCTTCTCTCTCCTCAGTCCTCTCCTCTCACCTCAGTCCTCTCTTCTCTTCTCTCTCCTCAGTCCTCTTCTTCTCTTCTCTCTCCTCAGTCCTCTCCTCACTCCTCAGTCCTCTCTTCTCTCTCCTCAGTCCTCTCTTCTCTCTCCTCAGTCCTCTCTTCTCTCTCCTCAGTCCTCTCTTCTCTCTCCTCAGTCCTCTCTTCTCTCTCCTCAGTCCTCTCTTCTCTCACCTCAGTCCTCTCTTCTCTCTCTCCTCAGTCCTCTCTTCTCTCTCCTCAGTCCTCTCTTCTCTCACCTCAGTCCTCTCTTCTCTTCTCTCTCCTCAGTCCTCTCTTCTCTCTCCTCAGTCCTCTCTTCTCTTCTCTCTCCTCAGTCCTCTCTTCTCTTCTCTCTCCTCAGTCCTCTCCTCACTCCTCAGTCCTCTCTTCTCTCTCCTCAGTCCTCTCTTCTCTCTCCTCAGTCCTCTCTCCTCACTCCTCAGTCCTCTCTTCTCTCTCCTCAGTCCTCTCTTCTCTCTCCTCAGTCCTCTCTTCTCTCTCCTCAGTCCTCTCTTCTCTCACCTCAGTCCTCTCTTCTCTCTCCTCAGTCCTCTCTTCTCTCACCTCAGTCCTCTCTTCTCTCTCCTCAGTCCTCTCTTCTCTCTCCTCAGTCCTCTCTTCTCTCACCTCAGTCCTCTCTTCTCTTCTCTCTCCTCAGTCCTCTCTCCTCACTCCTCAGTCCTCTCTTCTCTCTCCTCAGTCCTCTCTTCTCTCTCCTCAGTCCTCTCTTCTCTCTCCTCAGTCCTCTCTTCTCTCTCCTCAGTCCTCTCTTCTCTCTCCTCAGTCCTCTCTTCTCTCTCCTCAGTCCTCTCTTCTCTCACCTCAGTCCTCTCTTCTCTCTCCTCAGTCCTCTCTTCTCTCTCCTCAGTCCTCTCTTCTCTCACCTCAGTCCTCTCTTCTCTTCTCTCTCCTCAGTCCTCTCTTCTCTCTCCTCAGTCCTCTCCTCACTCCTCAGTCCTCTCTTCTCTCTCCTCAGTCCTCTCTTCTCTCTCCTCAGTCCTCTCTTCTCTCTCCTCAGTCCTCTCTTCTCTCTCCTCAGTCCTCTCTTCTCTCACCTCAGTCCTCTCTTCTCTCTCCTCAGTCCTCTCTTCTCTCTCCTCAGTCCTCTCTTCTCTCTCCTCAGTCCTCTCTTCTCTCTCCTCAGTCCTCTCTCCTCTCTCCTCAGTCCTCTCTTCTCTCACCTCAGTCCTCTCTTCTCTCACCTCAGTCCTCTCTCTCTTCTCTCTCCTCAGTCCTCTCTTCTCTTCTCTCTCCTCAGTCCTCTCTTCTCTTCTCTCTCCTCAGTCCTCTCCTCACTCCTCAGTCCTCTCTTCTCTCTCCTCAGTCCTCTCTTCTCTCTCCTCAGTCCTCTCTTCTCTCTCCTCAGTCCTCTCTTCTCTCTCCTCAGTCCTCTCTTCTCTCTCCTCAGTCCTCTCTTCTCTCTCCTCAGTCCTCTCTTCTCTCACCTCAGTCCTCTCTTCTCTCTCCTCAGTCCTCTCTTCTCTCTCCTCAGTCCTCTCTTCTCTCTCCTCAGTCCTCTCTTCTCTCTCCTCAGTCCTCTCTCCTCTCTCCTCAGTCCTCTCTTCTCTCACCTCAGTCCTCTCTTCTCTCACCTCAGTTCTCTCTTCTGTAGCCAATAATTCCTTTTGACTGACGTGTCCACAATTTGATACAGAAATCAGACAAAAAGATTCTCCGAGTTTAACATCTGCATTTAATTATCTTTACAATCAGATACAGAATATTCAACAAAAGAGAGCTCTTAAAAGCTAATCCATGTCCCTCTCTGGCCCTCGTCTGATCCTGCTGTGTCTCCCCAAGCCAGAGCATATATAAAGAACAGGAAGGAGGGGAGTGTCCTATCAGCCAGCTTCCGGTCTAGGGTCCAGCCTTTTCCTCCGTCTGCCAGACTCCTGATGGAGTGAGGTTGAAAAGTGCAGAAGTCAGCAGGCCAAGACTAGGGGGTTGAAATCCAAACAGGAGAATCTGTTGTCCAGTTGCTGGCACAAGAAGACACCTAAAATAAAATAAGAAGGACTGGCCTCCCACTTAGAGGTTAGCTAGGTCATAAAACACATGGTTTTAGAATGTCACGTATTTATAAATACAACAGTTTCCCTCTTTTGACCTGATTAAAAATTAGGTCACAATCCACATCGTCGTTTATCATCAATACTTGTGCTTAGTTCCGGCTTGATATCTGTGAAGAGTTAATACAGAGAAAACAAACAACACACAACAAACCACATTTTTACCATTCCTTCAATACTATTTGATGACCACTGCTGTGTCATTCTGATTCTTCTTCAACCTCGTCTGTAATGTATGCACTAAAACTATTCACTATAGTTTAAACTATTCTAATCTATTTACAAATATGTTTGCATATTTTGCTTTTATTGAGCCCTATTCTTAAACATATGTTTTTATCTAATAAATCTATCTATACTGTGGTTTGCTTTCAAATGTTTTTGAATCTGTGTTGGTTCTAATCTATCTCATTAATCTATTTCATTAACTTTTTGCATTGTCAACATTCACCTATGTTTGAAACAAGTGAATTTGACAAGTATGAACTTTATCTACTTTTGAAGTAAATACTTTTGGACATATTATGAAGGAAATTGTCCTTTTACCGTTTGCTATTAGCCTTGGCTAAAAATAATCTCTATTTTTGAAAGCCTCTATGGTTGATGCATTTATCTATTTCTAGTTTTACGCTATTTTTTCCCAAAGCTCGGCTGTAGCTTGAGCCAAAGCATATTCCCAATTTGTGAGTTCTATCACTTTCAATGGCTGTAAATAATTCTGATTCTAACTCTATCTAGCTTCTCTATCAGAAGGATCACAATGTATGGTACCATTTTAACTCTTACTCCGAAGTTTGTTTATGACCAATGATCAAATTCTACTTTTTCCTACTATTTTAACATCTACTAAAACACTAAAATACTCATACTTTATCATTTTAAACCATTTTACCAGTTGTTCAGTCCCCCAGACTGAACCCTTAACATTTATTGCATTTGGTCATAGTTGTGGTTCTAATTGTAACAATTGCATTGGCAATAGACGATTTTTCATTGGCTGGTTCTTGTTCTGCAAATCACTATTTTTATGTGTTGTATTTCAGACAATTCCAAAAACAACACAGTCGTTCTCCAATATTAAAGACATAAATCTAAATCAAGTTGCCTGAAAAGCGGGAGAAGAACTATTTTAAAACGTTCTCTACGATTATAAGGCTATGAAATTAATTATTTAATAAACAAAAGCACATTCATGGCTTCTGTCCGCTGCTTATAGCTGTTTAAAGAGTTGTCCCAAACTTAATATGTGTAAATACATCAGCTGTTTGTAATAAACAATAACATTTAACCTGTTCTCCAATGGAGCAGCTCAGAGGCTGCATCAAGAGCAATGTTATATTTGAGCTATTTTTAGATTTAAAATTGTGTTAAAGCCTGTCGTTCTATGTCTGCATTTTAATACTACTCTCTATAAACACATCTGCACTAGTTCCTACAGATGTGGAAAACAGAAACATCTAAAATCTGACTCCATTTGATTCCTTTTTACTTTAGTTATTAGAACAATTTGACCTTATTGATACTTATTTCCACAATAGAACTATTTTGATTATTCCCTCCGGTGGACTCACCACCTGCAGGAGGATCAGTGAGGGGCTGGTGCTCTGTGTACTGGGTGCAGCTCTGACTGCCACCCCCCCCCCCCCCCGACCCAGAAATGGATTAAGGGGAAGAAAATGGATGGATGGATGGATGATTATTCACTAGTCTAACTATTATTACTATTGTTTATTCTGACACCTCTTCTTAGCGACCTTTTCAACCTATAGCTCCTGAATCCAATGACATTATAGCTCCAGACTATTTCATTCTATTCTATTATTATTATTATATGATCTATTATCTTAAAGAGTAGATCTGTTTGATGTTATAAGCGCTATTATTTCTCCTTTTGAATTTGCACAACACTAAATTTAGAATGACCCCCTATGGGACAAATATAGAATTTTATTTCATTTTGGCAACTCCGAAAATTACTTAATAATTTTCCCATTTTGCTTTTTTAGGCTGCCCTTTCTATTATTTATTTGTTCTTGTAAATATATGTTTTACACTTCTTTCTAATGATTTAGAAGGTTAAGGACCATGACCACCTATGACAATAACATTACTATACTCCCTCTGTTGGTCATGGGCCAAGTATAAAACATGCGTCTCTGTGTGTGTGTAGATTACTGTTCCAATCATCTCCAGTTGTTCCTCCCGGATCGTCCTCAATTCATATTGTGGGCTTTGGTGCCATAGTAGAGGCTCATTTCCTCATGATCCATACTACTGTCATCCCTGAAGCAGGGGTAGTTTATCTGTCATCTGAAAAAGAAACATTAGAACACAAAAATGCCCACTTCCCTCTCTTCGCATGGTGCAGCCTGTCAATCAATCCAATTGGGCAAAACATAACTGCATTGACAGACGGTGTGTGACATCAGGGCAGAGGCTGTAGCCAAATACAGACTTAACAATATGTATGTTTCTAATTTTATACTCCCCTAAATGTGAGTTACAAACCAAAGTTGTCCCTCCGCCCAATGACCGCTCACTGCGGTTGGACCGAATCACTGTCAGGACAAACAGCAGAGGGAGGGGACTCCCAGTACCTTCAGCAAGGTATTCATCTCAGAGTACTTTCCGCAGAGTACTTTTCTCAGAGTACTCATCCCAGAGTACTCTCACTTTTACACCTGTTCAATAAAGCTTGTTATCTTTGAATCTCTAGTACTTACACCGTATGCTGTTGACAAAAAATAATTATTCCATGATCACATTACAGAAAGACATTTGTTATTCCATTCTCCGTTCAGCACTCCTCATTCACTCCTCATTTCACAACACACTCGCATCACACTCACAACACAGTCACAACACAGGCCGACTCCCCACGTTAGTATAATGGTCCAGTTTGTTAAGGTCAACGTAGTGTACTTGACATGACGCACAAACATATAACACACACAAACATATAACACACAAAAACATATAACACACACAAACATATAACACACAGAAGGCCTGTAATTTTAACTTTGTTATATTTTTCCATGTCCAATTACAATTGTCTCATGAGCTATTTCTATTGTTGCAACTTTCAGAGCCTGCAGAACATGCAGAGCTTTGAGAGATTTTTCCTAAAAGGATCCATTTCCAACTTTAGTGTTTACCACGTGGTCTGTACTCGGGCTTCTCACAGATTGTGTCCCCTATATCTTTAATGAGCTCTTGTTACTTTAAAATGTTTTTTCCTTCTTTTTTCTTTTTCAGTAAAGCCAGGTCGGATTCATTAAAAATGTAAATTAGTCTCAAACTTTAATACTTCACCTTTGTTTTACGTTCATGTGGAGAAAAGACCATTGTTTTGTGTGTTGTTGTACTTGCACCAATCATGTCTCAGATGAACGGCCAACAGTTGTATTAAAGACATAACTGTCCTAATTGTTTCTAATTTAGCTATTTGGAAGAGAAACATGTCATAAAAGATTTCATAAAATGTCCCTACATCCTTGTTTTCAACCAATGAACAGTGTTGCGTCATATGTGTTATCAGAAATGATCCAATATCACCTTTAGCCAAAATTTCAGAAATGCTTTAAATCATTTTTCAAACTTTAATTGTCTGAACAAACCATTTTGTACTAAATGCAGCGTCCATTAAAAGCTGCAGTTCTCTTTCTAGCACCAGTTTCAACTGTGCATGTGACTGTTTTTAAATGAGAAACGAGCCACGGTTCAGAGGTTGAAAAATTGCCTTAAATATCCGTATTACCAAGATCATGCAGTCAAAATCAATAATTCTAAACTTCTCCGCGTCTATAACTTTAAATAATAATACTAGTTTCAATAATAGAGCTCCTCTACCTTAAATATACTGCTGTTCTAATCTCCTTGTGTCTCATGCTAAAGCAAGAGTCTAATTAATTTTAACGATTGTCCTGTATTCTTTCATGCAGCTAAATGTGGTGTTATGAACGAATGACCTAGCTAAATGTGTAAATATGACTTAATATGTCTCTGTGCGTTTGTTGCCTGTCTGTATATTTACCTTCTGTCTGTCTCATTTAGCCGGCCACGTCTTCCTCAAATGTCTTTCAGTGTCTTTTGTCTCAAATGTCCAATTTCTTTTCCTCATGGCGTTTTTTCAATTCTTTTTGTCTCAAAGTGTCCAATCTTCTTTGTCTCAATGTCTTTTTTCTTCTTCTTTCAACAATCACTTTCTCCTTTGTCTTTTTCTTTTCGATAACTCTTTCTCACAATGTTTTCATTCTTCTTTCATCTCTGACGCACCCACAAATGTGTCGTGTCCTTCTTCTTCTTGTTAGGTTTTCCGGCGGCTGGCGGCCTATTTTTCCGCATTACCGCCACCTTCTGTTCCGCAGATGGGACAACACTCAGTTTTGTGAACAAGTCTGCGGTCTTTTCTTTGTCCTCCTCACAGGGGCAGGAGGAGTCTTCTTCGAGAGTTCCTGTTAGCTGCTGCAGCCGATGCTGCCCCTGCGCCCCGTGGTGAGAGGGGGAGACGCTGATGGTCCGTGTTGATGGCGCTTGATGTGGTTTGTGGCCGAGACGATTTTGGGCAAATGAAACAGACAGAAGTTTTCTCGGAAAAAACAGACAAACAAGAAACACAAACAAGTGTGTTAATTACCATACAAAACCAATGATTAATTACAAATCCAAAATAACCCTATGAAATAATTAATATTAACATTTTCAACATTAAATTCTGAAAACCAAATCTGCATTCAACTGCTATCCTAAGCCCTATTTTTCCAAAAGTATAATGCTCTCTAAGACCATTCTAACTTTTATATCACCAAAATGTAGGAAAAAACTTGTCCAGACGCCTTGGAGATAAAAAATAAAAAAATAAAATAATGCCTCTTTATAATCAACTCAAAGTTCTGTGATCCTATGACTCCATGTCAGTAACATTATCGTGTGTATAAATGTAATTTTCTACAAAACAAAAAAATTTCTTTGGTAAAAGTTCTGTCTTCACGAGAGAGAGAGAAAGACAGAAAGAGGGAGGGGAGGGGCTGAGTGGCTTCTTCATGATTGAAATACACCCCCTTTTGCTACATTTTCCTCGTTTTTATCGTGATAAGGAAAGATCAGTGAGTAAGAAGTTTTTCTCACGTCAAACGACACTTTACATTTTATCCTTAAATACGTCAGTAATGGAAAACATTACTATTTGCTTACATGACTAATAGTCCCAGCAGAATCTCTTTTTTTTTTTTTGATTCTCTGTAACTATTAAACATTACATCCGAATAAGAGAAAAACTTCCATAACTGATCATTCTGGTCATTTCTTCACATGGAAACTCGTATTTACAGCCAAGTGGCTCCTTCTTTTCTCATTAATCAGATCGTTAGTATCAGAATCCACATTTTAAATACTTGGCTTTTTTCTGTTTAAATGTACCCTTTTTCCCCGCCCCCCGGGGGATATGGAGTTTTCATTATCCTATAACTTCTGACCCTAACTGTCCCTATTTTCTAATCCTATTTCTCTAAACACTTGTGCCTCTTTTGCACTTTAAAACGGTGTGCTTCTTTTGCACTCTAAACGGTGTGCCTCTTCTGCACTTATAAACTCTGTGGCTCTGATTCATCATCTATGTTCTGTTTTTTTAGGAGGGACCCATGCTTCCCCCAAGGCCAAAAACGTCTAAACCTGACTATTGTTCTATCGCGTCCGATAGAATCGCCCGTCACGGCGGTCTGGCCACGCTGCAGTCATGCTGGGCCGAGATCTCTCTGTCTTCTATTTAAAACAATGTGCAGATTTTAGAAATGGTATCTGCTTACCTGTGTTTTGCAGTAGAGAGCCCCAAGACCCAACAGACCCAGTCTATCTATCTGAGCTCATCTTGCGTCTTCTTTCTGTATCAAATCACGTCTCGGGTCACCAAATGTAGCCAATAATTCCTTTTGACTGACGTGTCCACAATTTGATACAGAAATCAGACAAAAAGATTCTCCGAGTTTAACATCTGCATTTAATTAGGTCTTTACAATCAGATACAAATATGGGTCTCCCTCCCTGTGGGTTTCCCTAGTGCTCCCCAAGGTTTCTCTCACTTTTTCCCACTGGGTTTTTTAAGAGTTTTTCCTTGTCGATGCAGGAGGGTCTTGTTGGACAGTTAGTGTCCAACAGAAAGGATTGGTGATGATCAGGACACTTTAGCATTCTACAACATGTATGGACATTTTCTTCTGTGTGTGCTTTATATTCTCCATGTGTTTTGGCTGTTGATTCTCTGACCTGTGTTGGTGATTTCAATGGTTTTGTTAAGTCCTCTGAGATGACTTCTGTTGTGACCTAGGGCTATACAAGAATAAATTGTATTGTATTGTATTGTAAGTGTCGCAGATGAAAAAAGTCGAGCCGCTTCACAGCAAAAACGGCTGAGTAAAATTTCCAGAGTCATTATTTTTTTCCTCCAATTGAGTTCTTTTTAAACATTTTAGAGTAAAATAACCTCTAGCGGCCTCTAGAGTGCGAGTGATTTTTCAGAGATGATCAGAATCTCCTCGATTGGAGTAAATGAGGCCCCGCCCTATGTCCCGCCCCCAAAACTCAGGTCTTGAGCTTCTGAACCGCCGCCATGACAGTTTCTCGCTGGACACTAGCAGACGGAGTGTGGAAACCATGGATGTACTCATTTCTTTCTACGTCATGGATAGTCAAAAGGATACAAGGTGAGTCTAAATGCGTATTTAAAGTTTGTCACTTTTTTCAGTTTCATTTAGTCCATGCTGTTATCGCGGTGTACATTTGGAACACTGTTGTGTCTTGTGAAAGCTGCTAGCTTAGTGCTGTTACAAGTTACAAATACTGATATAGTGTTACATCTTCTGGCAATCATATGTGGTTGGAGTTGTACAGAGTTTATTAGTAATGGATTAATATACATTCAAAATGTAGAATTTGTTAAACTTATGTTAATTAGTTAATCAAATTTTGCGTCACTGCAACACATTCTTTGAGCTATTTTTTAGTGTGTGTATGTGTTACTTTATTCAAATCAATCTGTATACACTGAATACATTCTATTGTAAAACGCCTGTTGTGCTCCGGTGACGTAGACAGACGACCGCGTGTATTACTTTGGTGCTTTAGCATGGTTTCACATGGGTTAGAATGGGCAAGTATTTGACACTGGGAATGAGCTATTGTTACAGACAGCGCAGCACATGGAGGTGACTCTGACATGAGTAGTTTTGTTGTTAGCATTGTTACAGACAGCGCAGCACATGGAGGTGACTCTGACATGAGTAGTTTTGTTGTTAGCATTGTTACAGACAGCGCAGCACATGGAGGTGACTCTGACATGAGTAGTTTTGTTGTTAGCATTGTTACAGACAGCGCAGCACATGGAGGTGACTCTGACATGAGTAGTTTTGTTGTTAGCATTGTTACAGACAGCGCAGCACATGGAGGTGACTCTGACATGAGTAGTTTTGTTGTTAGCATTGTTACAGACAGCGCAGCACATGGAGGTGACTCTGACATGAGTAGTTTTGTTGTTAGCATTGTTACAGACAGCGCAGCACATGGAGGTGACTCTGACATGAGTAGTTTTGTTGTTAGCATTGTTACAGACAGCGCAGCACATGGAGGTGACTCTGACATGAGTAGTTTTGTTGTTAGCATTGTTACAGACAGCGCAGCACATGGAGGTGACTCTGACATGAGTAGTTTTGTTGTTAGCATTGTTACAGACAGCGCAGCACATGGAGGTGACTCTGACATGAGTAGTTTTGTTGTTAGCATTGTTACAGACAGCGCAGCACATGGAGGTGACTCTGACATGAGTAGTTTTGTTGTTAGCATTGTTACAGACAGCGCAGCACATGGAGGTGACTCTGACATGAGTAGTTTTGTTGTTAGCATTGTTACAGACAGCGCAGCACATGGAGGTGACTCTGACATGAGTAGTTTTGTTGTTAGCATTGTTACAGACAGCGCAGCACATGGAGGTGACTCTGACATGAGTAGTTTTGTTGTTAGCATTGTTACAGACAGCGCAGCACATGGAGGTGACTCTGACATGAGTAGTTTTGTTGTTAGCATTGTTACAGACAGGCAGCACATGGAGGTGACTCTGACATGAGTAGTTTTGTTGTTAGCATTGTTACAGACAGCGCAGCACATGGAGGTGACTCTGACATGAGTAGTTTTGTTGTTAGCATTGTTACAGACAGCGCAGCACATGGAGGTGACTCTGACATGAGTAGTTTTGTTGTTAGCATTGTTACAGACAGCGCAGCACATGGAGGTGACTCTGACATGAGTAGTTTTGTTGTTAGCATTGTTACAGACAGCGCAGCACATGGAGGTGACTCTGACATGAGTAGTTTTGTTGTTAGCATTGTTACAGACAGCGCAGCACATGGAGGTGACTCTGACATGAGTAGTTTTGTTGTTAGCATTGTTACAGACAGCGCAGCACATGGAGGTGACTCTGACATGAGTAGTTTTGTTGTTAGCATTGTTACAGACAGCGCAGCACATGGAGGTGACTCTGACATGAGTAGTTTTGTTGTTAGCATTGTTACAGACAGCGCAGCACATGGAGGTGACTCTGACATGAGTAGTTTTGTTGTTAGCATTGTTACAGACAGCGCAGCACATGGAGGTGACTCTGACATGAGTAGTTTTGTTGTTAGCATTGTTACAGACAGCGCAGCACATGGAGGTGACTCTGACATGAGTAGTTTTGTTGTTAGCATTGTTACAGACAGCGCAGCACATGGAGGTGACTCTGACATGAGTAGTTTTGTTGTTAGCATTGTTACAGACAGCGCAGCACATGGAGGTGACTCTGACATGAGTAGTTTTGTTGTTAGCATTGTTACAGACAGCGCAGCACATGGAGGTGACTCTGACATGAGTAGTTTTGTTGTTAGCATTGTTACAGACAGCGCAGCACATGGAGGTGACTCTGACATGAGTAGTTTTGTTGTTAGCATTGTTACAGACAGCGCAGCACATGGAGGGACTCTGACATGAGTAGTTTTGTTGTTAGCATTGTTACAGACAGCGCAGCACATGGAGGTGACTCTGACATGAGTAGTTTTGTTGTTAGCATTGTTACAGACAGCGCAGCACATGGAGGTGACTCTGACATGAGTAGTTTTGTTGTTAGCATTGTTACAGACAGCGCAGCACATGGAGGTGACTCTGACATGAGTAGTTTTGTTGTTAGCATTGTTACAGACAGCGCAGCACATGGAGGTGACTCTGACATGAGTAGTTTTGTTGTTAGCATTGTTACAGACAGCGCAGCACATGGAGGTGACTCTAACATGAGTAGTTTTGTTGTTAGCATTGTTACAGACAGCGCAGCACATGGAGGTGACTCTGACATGAGTAGTTTTGTTGTTAGCATTGTTACAGACAGCGCAGCACATGGAGGTGACTCTGACATGAGTAGTTTTGTTGTTAGCATTGTTACAGACAGCGCAGCACATGGAGGTGACTCTGACATGAGTAGTTTTGTTGTTAGCATTGTTACAGACAGCGCAGCACATGGAGGTGACTCTGACATGAGTAGTTTTGTTGTTAGCATTGTTACAGACAGCGCAGCACATGGAGGTGACTCTGACATGAGTAGTTTTGTTGTTAGCATTGTTACAGACAGCGCAGCACATGGAGGTGACTCTGACATGAGTAGTTTTGTTGTTAGCATTGTTACAGACAGCGCAGCACATGGAGGTGACTCTGACATGAGTAGTTTTGTTGTTAGCATTGTTACAGACAGCGCAGCACATGGAGGTGACTCTGACATGAGTAGTTTTGTTGTTAGCATTGTTACAGACAGCGCAGCACATGGAGGTGACTCTGACATGAGTAGTTTTGTTGTTAGCATTGTTACAGACAGCGCAGCACATGGAGGTGACTCTGACATGAGTAGTTTTGTTGTTAGCATTGTTACAGACAGCGCAGCACATGGAGGTGACTCTGACATGAGTAGTTTTGTTGTTAGCATTGTTACAGACAGCGCAGCACATGGAGGTGACTCTGACATGAGTAGTTTTGTTGTTAGCATTGTTACAGACAGCGCAGCACATGGAGGTGACTCTGACATGAGTAGTTTTGTTGTTAGCATTGTTACAGACAGCGCAGCACATGGAGGTGACTCTGACATGAGTAGTTTTGTTGTTAGCATTGTTACAGACAGCGCAGCACATGGAGGTGACTCTGACATGAGTAGTTTTGTTGTTAGCATTGTTACAGACAGCGCAGCACATGGAGGTGACTCTGACATGAGTAGTTTTGTTGTTAGCATTGTTACAGACAGCGCAGCACATGGAGGTGACTCTGACATGAGTAGTTTTGTTGTTAGCATTGTTACAGACAGCGCAGCACATGGAGGTGACTCTGACATGAGTAGTTTTGTTGTTAGCATTGTTACAGACAGCGCAGCACATGGAGGTGACTCTGACATGAGTAGTTTTGTTGTTAGCATTGTTACAGACAGCGCAGCACATGGAGGTGACTCTGACATGAGTAGTTTTGTTGTTAGCATTGTTACAGACAGCGCAGCACATGGAGGTGACTCTGACATGAGTAGTTTTGTTGTTAGCATTGTTACAGACAGCGCAGCACATGGAGGTGACTCTGACATGAGTAGTTTTGTTGTTAGCATTGTTACAGACAGCGCAGCACATGGAGGTGACTCTAACATGAGTAGTTTTGTTGTTAGCATTGTTACAGACAGCGCAGCACATGGAGGGACTCTGACATGAGTAGTTTTGTTGTTAGCATTGTTACAGACAGCGCAGCACATGGAGGTGACTCTGACATGAGTAGTTTTGTTGTTAGCATTGTTACAGACAGCGCAGCACATGGAGGTGACTAACTTGAGTAGTTTTGTTGTTAGCATTGTTGTTAGCATTGTTGTTAGCATTGTTACAGACAGCGTAGTTGACTTTGGATGCAGTTTTAGCTATGTTTGCCACATAAACACTATTACTGTTACAACAGTGACCACATGTGTGTACTAAAATTGTTTTATATGTCTCCTTAGATGAATGCTGAAGTGATGTGCAGCGATCCACAGAAGTACATCTGCTATGAAGGGCAGCTTTGTTTTGCGTTATTCTTAAAATGTAGTAAGTGGGAAATATGTAATTATCTTTATTCAGGGGCATTATAAAGTAAAATGCTTTGATAATATTACATTGTACTCCACTCTGAAATGCCTTGATACTTGTAAACAATCATAAACATACATTTGTTTTAGCAGTTGCAAAATAAATGGATATTCCAACTTTCAAAGTCTATGATGAGACGAAGACTGAGGTTGATGAAGTATTTGAATTTCTCCTCAAGAAGGAGCGTTTGGGTGTGCTAGATGTTTGTTCACCAAAGGGTGTGTGTTTTTTAAATAATTAATTAATTTAATGCTGTATTTTCATATATTAAGGTTTTTATTTTGACAACTATGACTTTATGTTGCAGATGGGTTGAGCTCCCCAAAGTGGAGATACCGAGGTTGACTCTGAGGACGCGATCATAGCAGTTTAGACCTGCTTCAGTCAATAGAACTGAGGAGGTTCGTCTCTCACATGTGAGCTTGATGGTTATATATATATGCACCACACTATGTAGCTGATTAAGTTATTTTATCGTTACCATTGTAAACACTTTGTTTTATGTTTCCAGATTGAGAGCATCCCAAAGAACAAACCAGGAGGAGATGGAATCTTAAGCGATTATGCTCAAAAGCCTTACAGACAGCAGGAGACGTGATATGGTCAACATTTTGGTTGCGCATATGACAAATGAACATGGTAAAACATTGCTAATTTTGAAAGTTTCACTGTTTCATAACTAAAATATAACCTATTATTTTAAAGAAGTCCTTCAAGGCGTGTAAAAGACGAATATGCCAGAGGAATTATTGCCTTGTTATCTCTGTTTGGCAGATCCAAAGAGCTAACTTGGTATGATACTTAACTCCTCTGAACATTTGTATCCGAGTCATTCACAGGCATGTTGTCAAACTATGTTTTTATTTCAGGAGCACTATTACCGTTTTTCTGGCTGTGTCCTATGGTCCCAAAAGGACACCATTACCAAAAGGTTAGTTAAAGACTGTTGAGTTATTCTGTTGGAAAAGGTAAATTATTTGTATGTTTATTTGTCTATAGGTGGTCCGCATGCTAACTGAGATACCTACAAGAGGAAGATTGATCTGTGCTGGCAGAAAGTCTATTCTGTGAAGCAATTGCTCTCATGAAGCACACAATGGATGAAGCCATAGTCAAAGAGAAGATGAAGCAGACATGTCACTATCGTCAAAATATGGTCCTGAAAAATCTCTCGGTCTTCACAATGTTTTCAAGATTTCTGGATATATCAGGACTGGTAAGTCACCTTAAATATTGATATTGTTAATGTTGTATCAACATTTCATTATGTCTTTCGTTATAAAACAGATAGAGCAGGACTTCAGACTTACAGTATGCTTGATGATGCTACTTCAACAAAATTAGCCAATTGTCTGCAATCAAGAATTAAAGCTGAGTCCACCTCTAAAGTTGAAGGTGAGTTTTTTTATATTGGTGAAAATGGATCGTGTCACAAACACAGTAGATGACTTCCGTTTGATCTTTTTCAGGCTGGGGCAATGACATGTCTTCTTCTTCTACTTCACCAGACATGTCTGTGACCATCTCACTGTTTCTCAAGGTAAGGTCACCTCGCTTTTTCTAACTTTTTGGAAGGGCTTCATTATTAACGTATGCTTGTTAATTTTCTAGACTGGGACCAGCATTCAAGATCATCTGCACGGAATCACAGAAAGGCATCAACCCTAATATTTGGATTTCTGTGTCAACAGTGTGCATGTTCACAAATGGAATGAGAATTTTCTATTGAGCAAGTATTTGGTGCCAAATAAAAGGGTATGTGAAAAAATGTTTGATCTTTTTGTCATATTTCACATTTTTAGGAGCTTGTGGAGAAACTATCACTCAAAATTGAGTTCTTTTTAGGGAGTAAATTACTATGGAGTAAATATATAGTTCCTCAAGTAAGAGTACAAAATAGAGTGAGAGTCAATTGAAATTTACTCTATATAGAGTGAAATGTACTATTAAACAATTACTCAGAATTGAGGAATGTTAACTCTTTTTAGGGAGTAAAATACCATGGAGTAAATTTATAGTTCCTCTCGCAAGAGTAAAACTAGAGTAAGAGTCAATTTAAATGTTCTCTGCAGAGAGTGAATTTTACTATTAAAGAGTAGAATTTTTACTCTAAATTGAAGAGAAATTACTCCGATTAAACGACTCTATCAAAAGAGTTAATTTGACTCTTTTTAGAGAGGGACCAAATGTTATCAAAAATGGAGTTAAATTTTCCTCAATTTGAGTAAATTTTACTCTAGCGATTTTACTGTGTTTCTTCCTCTTAGGGCCAAATAGTGTGTCACATATTTACACCCATAACACACTTCATTCAAGTTGACGTGATCCTAACACTTTTAGTTGCTGACAAAAGCATAAAAACAGCAGCTCTATGTGGTGTCCGCGAGACCAGACCACAGACGCTGGACTCGGGAGCCGGAGCCTGTGCGCTCTGATTCGCTGTTTTGATCCGTCAATCACCACCCGCCGGCTTTTAATTTATTTTTATTTTCATTATTTTTGACAAAAAACAGCATACTAATTGTGTATTGTTTACCCCGTTTTGACAAAAGTATTTAACAACTATTTTAAATACAAAGCAAACGGGGTCATGCGCGTCATCAGTGTGGTTTTTGTCACTGAAGTGGACCCGAGCGTTTCTGTGCCTCACGCTGGGGAAGGAGACAGATTGCTCACTTACAAAAGATTGACAGAATCAATGAATAAACTACTGTGGGCTTGTGTATGAAGGCCAAATAGCACTGTAATCATGTTTAAAGCAGAGAAAAGTCAAAAACCGTGATATGGGCCCTTTAAAGGTAAAAATGTGCACGTCGAGTGCACATTATGTTCCAGAACAAAACGAAAAAGTAACGCAACAGTTACTTTAATTGGTAACTAGTTACTTTTATAGTGAAGTAACTCAGTTAGTAACTCAGTTACTTTTTGGGAGAAGTAACTAGTAACTATAACTAATTACTTTTTCAAAGTAACGTGCCCAACACTGTGTATAAGTAGAGTACCTGTATGAGGAGTGTGTCCATGGTCCGGTTGATGGTCACCGAGTGCAGCTGTCCATCACAGAGCTCCGCTCCTGAGCTCCTCCACCAATAAGAACTGCTGTCCACACGGAAGACTAGCTCCAGCTCCTCTACACACGCACACGCACATGCACACACACACACATGCAGACACAGACAAAGACAGTTTCACTCTAACAGCAGGGATCATTCGAACAAAGACAGTATGTTTTTCCACATACTGGTTGCAACAAATCTGACTGGCCAAAAAAATTATCTTGTGGCCCGGATTTGGCCCAGAGGCCTTGAGTTGTGTCCCACTTTACATGTCGCTGCATAATACTGTGCTGTAACTCTGCTGTGCACCTTATACCAATAATGTGCACATCATCACGTGTGGCTCTGTCACGTTTCGGCACAATTCTCATCTTTGAAATCTTTACAATATGTTCGTTTTAAGGCGAAAGATTTGCAGCGTTTGCTAATAAGGGCTGCTGCTTCATGTGGCGACAGATGGAGATGTGGAAATGTGAGTGTGAGGCTGAGAAAGATCCGTTTGGTTCCATTTCATCACTTTTCTCATGTGTGGCTCGAACATAAACGTCTTGATGGGATTTAATGAGCTCGTGGAGAGAGAAGCGAAGACCGACACCAAGTCCCGCTGTGATCCTACTTTCTGTCAAATACAACAGACAAGAATGGGCTCCGGCTTCTAACTGTAATCTGTGTTTTAACATTGTCAGAAAAACCAACAACATTCATTTAGAGACAGAATAAATATTGGGAAAGGGACAGTGTCTGCAGTCTGTGTGAGCAGATGGACATGCAGTGGGAACAGAATGAAAGAATGTGATTAAGAACACAAGGTAAAACTCTGGTTTGAGGCTCCAAGCATTTGTATGTTTTCTTTCAGGTGTAAAGACAATGGTCTGCCCATGGAGCCGGATACTTCTGACTTTCTTGAACACTTTTATGTGAAGTCACTCAAATGATTTACTAATAAAGTATTGTCAACTTTTCATATTTCAACCAGTCCCGTTATGTCTTAAAGCCAGTAAAATGTGTTTAAGGTACAGTATACGTAGTACAATAGTCCATCGCTTTAACACAGTTGACCTTTTCAGATTTAAAATGAACAATGCTGCTTTTTTTATACACAGCAAGCTTCTCCTTCACTGCACATATATATACTCTAACAACATCATGTAACCGCTAGTATAAAATATGTATATCGATATTTAACAGTGAACTATATGTAAAGTTAGAAGAAAACCTTTGTGGCTTGTGTGTTTCTCTGAGATTAGTTCAAAAGACTACCATGGTCTCTCTCTAATCTCTCTCTGGTCTCTCTCTCTCTCTCTAATCTCTCTCTGGTCTTTCTCAATCTGGTCTCTCTCTTGTCTTGCTCTGGTCTCTCTCTGGTTTCTCTGTCTGGTCTCTCTTTCTGGTCTCAGTCTGGTCTCTCTGGTCTTTCTTTGTTCTCCTTGTTGGCTCCACATGTGTGATGCTTACCCTGTTTGTTGATGAGCAGAGCCAGGTGCTGCCTGTAGGAGGCGACGTAGAGCAGCATGGCGGGACTGTGGCGGGTCCTGAAGCTCAGAGACAGGGTTTCTCCAGACATTCCCTGTTCCTCAGACTCTGACGAGGCACTAGGCAAGAACAGCACCGACGTGGAGGCTTTGAAGACAGCTGACACCTCTGCAAATAGATTGAAAAAGAATGCATTTTCTTTATAATGCACATTACGTACACGGACACATCTCAAGGTGCAACACACACATACCAGGAGACATTTTTTGTGGAAAAATAGTAGAGGTGCACCGATCAGGAATTTTTTGGAAGATCCTATATCCTGATATATCCTATCATTAAAATGTTGATCTGCCAAAACCGATCATTGCCGATCCGATCAAATATTGATATTATTAGTGATAAATGAATAGGACTAGTTATTCACTTTATAACTAATCTTTCAAAACCATCAAGGTACTAGGTAGTATAAATAAAATGCCCTAGGGTACTCAAGACAAAAAGGTTGGGAACCACAAGTATACGTTAGAGAGCATTGAGATACAAAATAAAAAATAAAAATGCTATGAATTACAGCAATACTGTACATGCTGCATTTCTAAACTGATTAAGAAGCGATAGTTAAGGCAATGTTTTTTCTTCAGAATATCAGCATAACTTCAGCAATTGCAGAGGTTAGTTTATTATGTTTATCATCCTGAAAAGTCCCGCTGCGTAAACAGTCACTGTCTACACTTGGAGCACTGGAGCACAGAGGAAAGCAAGCGCTGCTTTGGCCAAAGCAGGGAAGCGGCTTTTATTCTCCTTCCGATAAACAAGCGGCTGTCCGCTGTAGGACTGTCTGTACTACCACTACACTCATCTTCCTCCAACATTTCTGTGAACATAACATGCGAAGTCCTGACACGGGATGTTTCTGCCTGTAGCTCGCTGTTGAGTGTGTTCGTGTGTCTGCGCTGTGTGTCTCTGGCTGGGCTTGGAGTGTCAATGTGAGAATATACAGTTTGGTAAATCTGCGGCAGGCAGACATCAGTCAAATATTTCCACAATGGCATATTGAAGCAGTGGACATGTCGTTTGAACTCAGCGCTTTCCACGATAGACAAGGGCTGGTGGCAGAGGGAAAAAAATTCCATAACTTTCGTGCATATTTCGTTTTGTTTCTTACCGTCGTTACTGTGTGGTTGTTGCCGCTGTAGAATCTCGGTAACTGATAGCTGCACGAGTTGCTTGTTTACGCAATTTTGACGAGAGGAAGTAACTTGTGCGCACAAACCCCCATGTCATATGATCGGTCTTTTTGATCGGCACATTTCACCGGTCGCCAATCACGCAAATTAAGCCATGATCAGCCGATAATGAACGGTTACCGATCGATCGGTGCACCTCTAAAAAATAGAAACATTTATTTGTCCACAGAAGGAGAACACCACAGACTCATCACAGAAGAGCAGGAAAGAGCATCAAACAAGGAAACAAAACATGAATGTGAAAAATTAAATTCAGAGGTGTAGTGAGGGAGCAGTGTCTGCAGGCAGAGCTCTATGACCCCTCCCTTACCTCATCATGATCTTTGGGTAATGACCGAAAGGACGAGATTGTGGATACAAGCCCCACATGAGATTCCTTTGCAGTGGCATGTGGGATTGTTTTAACCAAACTGTAAAACACTTTGTGTTGCATCTTCTGAATGAAAAACTCTTGAATAAGTAAGTAATAGTAGTAAGTAATCTTTATTTATATACCGCCTTTTCACTGCAGATCTGAGTCTCAAAGCGGTTTACAATTGTTAATTGTAAATTAACAATTTATTGTGTAACAATAAATTACACACAATTTATTTTGTGTGTAATTGTGAATAATTGATTAAAAGTAGTGGGATTTTTTCTTATAAAAAATCTAAACGTTAAAATGATTAATTAACAGTGTTGGGCAAGTTACATTGAAAAAGTAATTATTTACAAATTACTAGTTACTTTAAAAAAAGTAATTAGTTACATTACTTTTTGATTATTTTGTGTCACAAAATAGAAAACATGATCATGTTCGTACGTTTGCTTTTATACAGGAATTTAAATAAAGGTCAACTACAAATAAGTAGTTTCAAAATTGGCTGAAATGACATTAACATGAACATGAAAGTAAAGGGGCGACAGTAGCTCAGTTGGTAGAGCATTGGCCTTAAGCCCAGAAGGTCGTGGGTTCAATTCCCACCTCTACACCTTCTCCACCGACTCCCACTGATGACTGCTGTCGTTGTGTCCTTGGGCAAGACACTTAACCCCACTTTGCCCACAGCCCCCACTGAAAGATCAAGGCTATGCTCACACTCAGAGAGCAGCCGTCCTCCTGTGGACTCACCACCTGCAGAGGGTCAGTGAGGGGCTGGTGCTATGAGACTTGGGTGGCATCTCTGACTGCCACCCCCCTGACCCAGAAATGGATTAAAGGGAAGAAAATGGATGGATGGATGGATGGATGGATGGATGAAAGTAAATGACACTTCCTGCTGTAGCTTCTTCAGATGTTTACAAATGTTTTTTTTTTTATCTGTCCTTGTCCTTGTCCCTGTCTAATACATTGTATTTTACAGAAAATGTTTTTGAAAGACGCCGACTCTGTAGCAGCATCTCTTCTACAACGAACACCAAAGTCTATGTTTTTGTCTTGGAGGTTTTCTGACAGCGTCATTCAAGTCCAGGTTCTCACAGGCTGCAGGTCCACTGAGACGCTCTGTAGCGACTAGCTGAGGGTTGACTAGGGCTGGACTGGGACCAAAAAACGGCCGGGCATTTTTGCTTCTTGACGGCCCGGGTATGTTTATTTTCATGTTGTTTTTACAGTTATTTATACGTCATGCAGAAGCACATACTGTAGACTCTTCAGTGTAGAGGATCAGGATGTATGCAGTTTCAACAATTAAAATAATGTGCAAAAGTCTACATTACAACACAATACAAAACAATGTATTCTTGTATAGCCCTAAATCACAACAGTAGTCATCTCAGAGGACTTAACAAAACCATTGAATCAACAAAGATCAGAGAAATTCTCTCTTGTATATCCGTACAATACACAATAAACATGTCACTACTCAGACTGAGGGAGATGGACACAGGCCGAAACTATCGTTTGTCACAGGGATGAGAATGGGACATTTAAAAAAAAGTCCAAGCATAGTGTCAGCCAATGGCTGTCATTAAATCTGTACGATTTGTTCACAGCATTTTACTTTTGGGCACAACCAACATGAACTGTTAATGCAATGGAAAAGTTAGGTATCCCAACTTTAATTTAGCAAATTTTGTTGCGCTACGTGAAGAGACATAGGGGAGACACGGGGGAGAGATGGGGGAGACAAAGGGGGGGACACGGACTGTTTCTTGCAGAAGTGTATTTATTGCGTGCACAGGTTACGCACACAACAAGCAGAGAATGGTCCTTTGCGTGTATGGTCTTGGGAACATGGCTACGTTACCGCTGCGCGCTCACCGTGTTGTCAAAGCGGCGCACAGCCGCTGGACGCGGGAACCGCTCATTACTAAACAACCGCAGATGCCCTAGAACACTGCGGCAAAATCCGTTTGAGTTCATACAGCAGGTACCCGGTGGTCACGCGCACTTCCCTCGAACATTTCTCAATGGATTTATACATTTTGCAAAAAAAAATTCTGTATGAATCAGACAGACTGGCCCAAATATGAGCATTGCCCAGTACGCCCGATGGCCCGTCCAGGCCTGGTGTTGACCATAGATTGTGTGACGTTGAGAGTGTTATAAAGGGTTCAAGGATGAGTTGGCTGCAGATCTTTTCCTCCGGTCAAACAAAACAAAATAATCTCATCGGCACCGGCAGCACACACTCTATGGTTCTCCTGTTTTTCTCCGTTTGTGCTGCGCTTACTCAGGTTTGATCTAGTATTTTACTTCCCACTGATAATTGTGACTGCAGCCGCCTCGTAGTAGCGCCGTATTTCCATGAATGAAATGCTCGGTGGTCATCCTCGCTCTCATGCTTTATGTTGCCGCTTATAATGTTTACAGTTTATCACGTGGCAGTGGTCACATCTCTCATATGTCATTCATTTGTCAAGAGTCGACGAGACAAAAGTCACAACATGCACGGTTTTGCATGCATTGTAACACTGCTTGATTAGAAGAAAGTGAATGTAATCACATTAATTATTTGTAGATGTAATCCCTGTTTACTTTACGTTACTTTTACTGAATTACTGACGAACACTTAGTAATGTTTCCAGATTCTGTGTCTCAGACATTAACCAAAATTCAGAAAGCTTCTGTGTTGTATTTGCACCATCACTCTGTTAGAAAGGAATGTCTTTTGTGCGTCCTTGTTATCGACAACAAAATAAATTCACCACAAAACATGAACTAAACCTTGAGAATGTTAAAAATTAATAATAATTCAAATACCACCAGGGTGAGAGTGGAAAACCTTGGAAAATGGGAAACTACAAAATAGCTACAGTATGATAGAGAGGACAAAAAGAGGGAGACCAGAGGAAGACCCAGGACACAGAGCGATGGTGTCTCTCAGCTGGGAACGACTCAGGATTCTCCCTGAGGAGCTGGTGGATGTGTGTACACTCATGCAACTATGTATTTCTGCACTAGAATATACTGTACCTGCTTCTTTGCTAAAGTGAGAGATTTTAGACTTGCTTCTTTAATATGCTAAAGTTCGAAATTTTACTTTTACTTTTATTTTGGTATAGAGTTAATGTCCACTTATCTTGTGCTGTGTACTCCTAATTCCTACTGTTCTGTAACTGGTGATAGAAACACTGTGACGACAAGGTGAGCTATGTGATGTAGCAGGGGCAGCGAGTGCGTCTGGGGAAGAATGTCTCGGACTCTCGGATTATAAATACAGGAGCCCCACAGGGCTGTGTTCTTTCTCCCCTGCTCTTCTCCCTGTACACCAACCACTGCACCTCCAGCCACGACTCCGTGAAGCTGATCAAGTTCGCGGACGACACCACCCTCATTGGACTCATCTCCAACAACGATGAGTCCGCCTACAGGAGGGAGGTGGACCGGCTGGTGTCCTGGTGCAGTGGTAACAACCTGGAGCTGAACGCCCAGAAGACAGTAGAAATGATTGTGGACTTCAGGAAGAGCACTGCCCCCCCGCCCCCACCCTCCGTGATGGACTCCCCCATCACCTCTGTGGAGTCCTTCCGTTTCCTGGGCACCACCATCACCCAGGACCTCAAGTGGGAGCCGACCATCAGCTCCCTCATCAAGAAGGCCCAGCAGAGGATGTACTTCCTGCGGCAGCTCAGGAAAGCCAAGCTGCCTGCACAGATGTTGGTGCAGTTCTACACGGCCATCATCGAGTCCATCCTCACCTCCTCCATCACCGTGTGGTTCGCTGGAGCCACAGTCAGGGACAAACAGAGACTACAGCGCATTGTGCGCTCTGCAGAGGAAGTGATCTGTCGCAGCCTTCCATCGCTGCAGGACCTGTACGTCGCCCGAGCTCGAGGCCGGGCTGGTCGTATCACAGCCGACCCCTCTCCCCCTGCACATGGACTTTTCCAACCACTCCCCTCAGGCAGGAGGCTGCGGTCCATCAGGACTAGAACCTCCCGCCACAAGAACAGTTTCTTCCCCTCTGCTGTTGGACTCTTGAGCACTTGAACACTTCTGAACCTGCCCGCCCTCTAGAAGTCCCCTACTGCTCTTTATAAAGTCACTTTACTGCCCATCATACGTCACTTTACCTCACGGTACTGCTGTCACCTTACATTGTGTGCACCATGTGCACTGTATATTGAATATAGTAATTGTGACTATTTTAATATTAATTTTTAATTTATTCCTTAGAAGTGTTTTTTATTCTTTTTATTTTATCTTATTCTCTCTCTCTGACTGTTGCACCGAGCCAAAGCAATTTCCAAGTCTGTGACCTCCTGTTACTTACGTGGCAATAAAAATGATACTGATTCTGATTCTGAGATGCAAGATAATGTGTGGCTAAGAGGGTTGCTAAGGCAAGCTGGAATGTGATTGGTCAGTCCATATATGGCTCACATCTGGATTTATAAAGACAACATATAAACACCAGGATCAGAAAGCTGGTGAGTGTGACACAAATGATTACTGAGCTGGAGGAGTTTACTTTTACATGGAAGTCAATAGGAGCCAGAGCGAGTTAGCTTTCATATCTGTTTCTACAATATCGTCTTCTTTTTTCAGAGCAGTCAACACACAGATGATTGGTCACATGCTTGTCTGTCCTTCTGAGAGCTATGAATGTTGTTTGAAGATCGCAGACTTCTCCCACTCCACCAACCCACTTCTGTCGACGACTGCAGCTTTTGACTCTACGTCCACTTTTGTCGGATCCTCTTTGTGCTGAGGATCCGACAAGTGCCCTGGAGAATATCCGCCATCTTGACCTTGGGGAGAGAGACGCCGGCTGTGTTGCTCTGCATGTTTAGTGTCTGATGTATTGAATAGAGACGATGACCACAGACAGAAAGGTTAGTCCCAGACCGAAGACGAAAAGGCCTTTGAGAAGTCTGTAATGACTGTGAGAGTGCAGCACGGCCGGCCACCAGAGGAGAGACTTCAGGGGCAGATTTAAAATACAAGAGCAATGGCAGTGTGTGCTCTATTGAAGTTTCTCATGGGGAATGCAATGAGTAGCAACCATCAACTGTATTTAGATGGATAATGCTAACCTGCTAGCTCAATGAAACCCAATGGGGAGAGCTCATGGATGAAGTTTTGCTTTGACTCTCTCCGGCTTCTATTGACTTTCATTGAAAATGGAACCTCAGTAAACGTTTGTGTCACATTCACCATTTCGGGCGCACACAATCAGTGGTTTTGCGCAATTGTGATTCTGGTGGAGCAACAGCCTCGGTCCTGGATCTACAGCCTCAGTCCTGGATCTACGGCCAAAGTCCAGTATCCACAACCTCAGTCCTGGATCTACAGCATAAGTTCAGGATCCACAGCCTCAGTCCTGGATCCAAAGCCTCAGTCCTGGATCTACAGCCTCAGTCCTGGATCTACATCTTCAGTCCTATGTGTTTGTTATTACTGCATTTCTTGAGTTTGAACCGCTTTATTAAACTGAATTAAACAGTTCTGAGTTTACCTTGATGGCAGAATGCTCCGGTGAAGGCGGAGGCTCCACACTGGCAGCTGAAGCCTCGGTCCCTCTCCTGACAGAGCCCCTGGTTCTGACACAGGGTCCCGTAGGTGCTGCAGTGTCCAGGGCATCCGGCTCTCACCCCGGGGGTCACCCTGGCTCTCTGCTCCAGGTCCAGAGTCTCTCCATTCAGCTGCAGAGCCCGAAGGCAGCCCAGGAAGCCTTTCTGACGCGACGCCGTTCCCCCTGAGGACACAGGGAAAGAGCATTTTTATTATTATTATTGATGCTATACCTTTCTTATGTATATAACCATATCAAAACATTGTTTTCTGCACTAGGTCAGTTGATGCTAATATCAGTAACATGATAACAAAGACCAGTGCGAACACAGCAAGTAGGTTCTTGCTGGGTTCTATTCCACCTCAAAGCATAAAGTGTCTTAAACGGGGTACATGAGTTGATTTTCAAAACTTTTTTTTTTTTTCAAACTAGCAAATATTGAACCAACTGGGACTCTGAGGAGCACAGGGACTGGTCTACTGCTGGGACTCTGAGGAGCACAGGGACTGGTCTACTGCTGGGACTCTGAGAAGCAAACTTGATTTGAATCACAGCTCTACTTTGCTCTCACTCAGTGTATTTAGGATACGGATTATTCATCAGAATACTTGTTATGTGGCGGAGTGGTCCTGAAAGTTCAAATCCCAGTGAGAAACCACCTTAACAATATGTCTGCCATCTTAAGACAGACGCTAACAACATCATAATATATATTTGGACTTGATCTCTGCGGCTCATGTATATGATCCCTGAAATGTGCACTTTATTTATCTACGTTGGGAAATTTGTCCCATCCTGATGCCTCTAAGGCTTCCGTAGTGCAGCGCGGACCCATCTCCAGATGAAGGTATTCGGCTTGGTCAAGACTACTGAAGCTGGAAGATTTAACCTTTTGTTCATGTTTTAGTGGTAAGGGAAACCAGAGCCCCCAGAGGAGCTAGACCCCGGGACGCTATAACGTCGGTAACCACTCCTTACATAACTTTTTCTTGTATTAAATAGTTTTAAATTAAACAAATGAAACATATTTGTCACAGATCATTAGAAAAACAGATTGGGAACTATACATATTCATACAGAGATGTGATATGAATTATTTGCTGTAGTGATTACTGGGTGCTCCTTCTGGACCAAGATCGACTTCTTAGTTTGATGGTTTAGAAATCGTTTGAGAGAATGTGGATCATTGACGTCGGAGGAATCCCGATGCCTGCAGTGAAGCATTGTACATTTCAGTCCTCGCGCTCCCACCACTTCCACTCTCGTTGTATTAATAATTAAAACAGGACCACTCTGTTTGTGCCTGCGTAGCTGCTAATTAATTTCGATTTCACAGCCGCAGCACTGCTAATGTTATAGATTAGCCGTCAGCCATTCCGCAGGCTTGTTCTTGTTCATTTCTCAAATCAACTTGTCAGTCTGTTCGCTAATCCAGTCCCCGTTTGCATTGTAGGCAAACAGAACCGCCGCCGGCCCATTTGTTCACATAAGATTATTATTAGCCCAAAGACAATCAAATCCTCCCGCAGTCCGGCTCCTGTTTGTCCATTCAAATGCGCGATTACCAACTCCCCAAATATTTGTGCAGGGATAAAAAAGAAAAAAAAATCACAAAGCAGAGCGGATTTGTCGACAGGTTACAGAGGTGGGAGGGAAATACACATGAGCTGCCAAGGAATCTACATGACATCTATTTTCTTTCCATTGGGGTTTGATAGAAGCTCTCTCTGGTTTCTTTCTCTAGTCTCTCTGGTCTCTCTTTCTCTAGTCTCTCTCTGATCTCTCTGGTGTTTCTCTCTGTTTTCTCTCTCTCAAGTGTCTATCCCTGGTCTCTCTTTAATAGTCTCTTTGGTCTCTCTCTGTTCACTCTATGGTCTCTCTCTGGTCTCTCTCTGGTCTCTTTCTCTCAAGTTATCTAGTCTCTCTCTAGTCTCTCTCTCTCTTTAGTCTCTCTTTAGTCTCTCTCTAGTCTCTCTCTGGTCTCTTACGGTCTCTCTCTGCTCTCTCTGGTCTCTCTTTAATAGACTCTCTGGTCTCTTTCTGGTATTTCTCGGGTAACTCCATGGTTTCTCTCTCTAGTTCCCTAGTCTCTCTCTGGTCTCTCTCTCTGATCTATCTCTGGTCTCTCTCTTTGGTCTATCTCTGGTCTCTGGATTTGTCGGAAGGGAAACACAGATGTGTTAGGCATCCAAATAACATCTATTTTCTTTCCATTGGGGGTTTTATCAAAGCGTTTGGATTATAGCTTTCCATAAAGAATAATATTAACATAGCACACACATTTTACAAATTTTGAATGGAGCTTATGTTTGGAAGAGGGATGGGAGAAAAAACAACCCACACATAGTCTTTCTTGTCTATCTTTGGTCTCTCTCTGGTCCTTCTCTGCTCTCTCTCTGCTCTCTCTCTGCTCTCTCTCTGATCCCTCTCTGGTCCCTCTCTGGTCCCTCTCTGGTCTCGCTCTGCTCTTTCTCTGGTCCCGCTCTGCTCTCTCTCTGGTCTTGCTCTGCTCTCTCTCTGGTCCCGCTCTGCTCTCTCTCTGGTCTTTCTCTGGTCTCTCTCCGGGCTCTCTCTGGGCTCCTTCTGGGCTCTCTCTGGTCTCTCTCCGGGCTCCCTCTGGGCTATTTCTGGGCTCCCTCTGGGCTCTCTCTGATCTCTCTCTGCTCTCTCTCTGGTCATAGCTGCATTGATGAATGAACTCAAAACTAACAAATGTAACTGTATGAAATGCATGTCCTCGATCCTGAAAACGAGACAATCTGCATTTCCTCTTTCAACTTCTAATTCTGTGGCGAGACAAACTGACTGAACAAATGCACAGCTGTATTTAAATCAATTCCCTGGAGATAAAGAAACAGTTTCTCCCGCTCTCCCACGCTGCCGCTATAGGGAAGCAACAAACAATCAACTTTTACTCATATTTCTTCTCTTAATCTTCTGGGACAGGACTATAGTGAGTCTAGGAGGAATATCGCATACATTATCCAAACGTCGGTACGAACACCCACTCTCTAAATCTCCACAACAGTCTGTTTTCATGGCCCACTGTGGACTTCTCCAAAATGGGAGAAAACAAACTGACGAAGCAGGAAGAAAATACTTAAAAATGTGTGAGCAGAGGCTGTGAGGTCTTGACAAGTTGCTAACGTGTAAGTACAGTATGTGAAGCAAGTTTCACAAAGACAACAGCTGATAATGAGGCGACCGACAGGCTTCTCTCTCTGGGCTCTCCATTTGCTCTTTCTTTGTTCTCTCTCTGCTCCGTCTCTAGTCTCTCTGCTGGTCTCTCTCTTCTCTGTTCTCTCTCTGGTCTCGCTCTCTTGTCCCTCTCGTCCCTCTCTGGACCCTCTTTGGTCTCTTTCTCTTTCTGCTGAGTTTAAAACAAAGAAAGAAATAGTTTGGAGATAACATTAAATTACACCTTAACTGCACAAAACTGTGAATAAAGTGCAACAGTGTCACTAACCAGTAACCTGATCTCTGTCTCATTCACAAGAGTAGTTGGGTTTTTTCACAGATCATATGACCCTGACCTGCGGAGTACCACAGGGGTCAATCCTGGGACCTTGGGTCCACCTGCTCTGACAATGTTAAAATCCAGGTCAAAAACAGGTCTGTTTCGCTGCGCATACAAGTGGAAATGTTACCCATTCATCTTATAATTGCATATTGTTTGATAATAAAATGTTTTCATGCTTCCTTTTTTGTTGGAGTTGCTCTGTGTATAAATCTCTGGTCTCTTGGTGGAAGAGGCAGATTGCTTTCTGCTTTCATAATTAAACATCTAACTTTTACTTTATTTCTACCCGTGGGTAGTTTTTTATTCAGTTGACAGACGTTGCATCTCATTAAATTGGATGGCGCAATCTAATTGAAGGCACAGAGTTGTAAAGAGTGAGAATTTCCCAAAACTAATGAAGGGGGAATAAAGCTCTGTCCAAAATGAAAACGTGGGAATGACAGTTAACGGAGTGAAAAACATCTGAATGTTTTTGATGAGGGGAATTTTTTTTTAAAGCTAAAGAAAAACTATTCAATCATATGTGTCTTGCCCGGGAGCCGCCTCAGTCCTGGATCTACAGCCTTAGTCTTGGATCTACAGCCTCAGTCCTGGATCTACAGCCTCAGTCCTGGATCTACAGCCTCAGTCTTGGATCTACAGCCTCAGTCCTGGATCTACAGCCTCAGTCCTGGATCTACAGCCTTAGTCCTGGATCTACAGCCTCAGTCCTGGATCTACAGCCTCAGTCCTGGATCTACAGCCTCAGTCCTGGATCTACAGCCTCAGTCCTGGATCTACAGCCTCAGTCCTGGATCTACAGCCTCAGTCCTGGATCTACAGCCTTAGTCCTGGATCTACAGCCTCAGTCCTGGATCTACAGCCTCAGTCTTGGATCTACAGCCTTAGTCCTGGATCTGCAGTCTGTGGAAGTGGATCCCTCCCTCAATGTGGTCCTCCTTGAGGTTTCTCACAGCGGCCCCCACAGGCCTGGCTCATACATTACTAAGCCTTCAGTTGAAACGGATGAGTTTTTCAGCTTTGTGTGGCCAGATACATTTACAGAGCTGGTACCATCTTTATGCAATACAGTTTCAAAACTATTCACCATGTTGTCTCTGTGTGGACCATGTTGTCACCCTGTGGAGCATGTTGTCTCTGTGTGGACCATGTTGTCACCCTGTGGAGCATGTTGTCTCTGTGTGGACCATGTTCTCTCTGTGTGGACCATGTTGTCACCCTGTGGAGCATGTTGTCTCTGTGTGGACCATGTTCTCTCTGTGTGGACCATGTTGTCTCTGTGAGGACCATGTTGTCTCTGTGTGGACCAAGTTGTCTCTGCGTGGACCATGTTGTCTCTGTGAGGACCATGTTGTCTCTGCGTGGACCATGTTGTCTCTGTGTGGACCATGTCTCCCTGTGGAGCATGTTGTCTCTGTGTGGACCATGTCTCCCTGTGGACCCTGTTGTCTCTGTGTGGACCATGTTGTCTCCGTGTGGACATGTCCCAGTTCCCTCCAGCTGTGTGTGCAGTTACTGAGTCTTGGACGTCTCACACTGGGCTTTCTCTGCTCACAGAATTTGTGTTTTTGTCAGATTGTGAAGCTCAGAGCAGTGGGCTGATGCAGTGTTCTCCGGAAAACCACCGGGAAAACAAGCTTCATCCTCTTCATCCTCCTCTACTTCTCACTGCTCCTCTCTTTGACATGTCTCTAACTTCTGTTTACTTTGTCCCAGATCCTCAGGCTAACATGTACAGAACATACAACTATATATTTCTGCACTACAATATACAAGATTTAATACCTGCTTCTTTTTATGCTTAAGTTGGAGATTTATTCTTGCTACTTAGATAAATAATCAAAGCGTTGCTATGTTTGTAGTCTGGTAGTTTCAGTGACGTGCAGTGAGTGACAGTGACAATGCAGTGTTGGTGATTGGTGAGGCACTGACTTCAACCCAATCAGATGTACATTTATATCATACAAATCAACAGGACCTATAGAGCGGCTTATTCACAATTAGTTTGGCTACAGCAGAATACAGTATGTTTCATGCCCGCATTGTTTGCTCATGCAAAATGCAAAAGTATGAAAAATCACATTTCAAAGTGTGTTATGGGCCTTACCTTAAACATGACCTGCACAGACCAGTTTCATGTTTAAGTCCAGATAATAGTTTGAGCGCAGATATGTAATCCTCCATTTGGAAATAAGTCCAATGAGTTTTAAAAAGTAAAACAAAAGGGTGTCTCCTCCATAAACTCCTCTCATGTTTCGCAGCAGCCAAATCTCGGGTGCATCCGATTTCTAAAATCAACCGTTTTACCCTTCACCTCTCTTTCTTATCATTTCTATCGTCATTGGAACATTACCCTAAGTGCATTTTAAATTATCTTAAAATGTGTTTTATGTTATATGTGTTATATGTTATATATTATATGTGTTATGTGTTATACGTATGTTAGCCAAACCTGTAGCTGCCCTTAGCAGAAGAAGAACAAGAAAGGAGCTTTCTGATGGAATCGGATGCAGCTGAATGAAATAAGGCAAAGTTACATTGAAATAATACAATAACATAAATCATTTGATATAGTGACCAAGTATTATTGTTTCCATTTCATTCTTTTTTCTTTCCATGATCGCTGTGCGGCCGGGCATCACCTGCCTCATCGTTTTATATTGTCTTGGGGTAGATTTGGCTCACGAGCCTGAGTTTGACCTGATGCCTGGTCTAAAGGGAGTAGCTCTCTGCCTGTAGCTCTCCCAGGGAGAAGCTTGGCGCCCCCTGCTGTAAACCATTGGGACTGTAGTGTGTCTGACCGATGAAGAGCTGGCTGTTGAGCTGCAGGTGCATGTGAGCGTCGGCGGGTGCTCTGCGGGTGCTCTGCGGGTGCTGGTCCACCGTCAGCGTCGCCTCCTTCACGTTCCTCTGGGCTGAGACCCGGTGCCAGCGGTCATCATTCAGGGGGGACTGGACCTGGACCTGGACCTCCACTGGACCATTCCCCACGTCCAGAGAGAAGACCACCTCTGAGGGAGCTGGAGGAACCAAAGATGAAGAAGAAGAAGGGGTTAGGACTAATATTAGCATCTGCATCACATCGACATTCAACAACAATAATGGAAGTCATCAACATTTCTGGACATTGGTTGTCCGTCCCTTATGGACCATGGCTCTATGTGTGTTTTTTATCATTGCATTTAACTTTTGTGCTTTAACTGTTTGATTCTCGGATCAGTGCAAATCAACGGCTTTGTAAAGTCCTCCGTCTCAGTCCTGAAGTCCTCTCACATTAGTCCTGGTCTCAGGTCTCTACACTGGTATTTGGAGGTGTCGACTCTCAGCAAGATGGTCCAAGCTCGGCTCTATACTATTTCTGTAGTCCTCATCGTACATTAATCCCACTGTGTGTGTGTGTGTGTGTGTGTGTGCTTGTTCCTTTATGTAATCTGCGGTGGGAGGTTGAAGTGTTTTGTCCCCGCATTAGTGTGTTTCATGTAGCTTAATCATCTTCTGTCTCGGAGGTCACATGGTGTTAAAAATACCCAGGATCAAGGCCACGGATGTGTGTGTGTCTGTAAGTGTGTACGTGTACCTGTGTATGTGTGCATGTGTGTCCTCTGTCTGTGTGTGTACCTGTGTGTGTGTGTCCTCTGTCTGTGTGTGTGTGGGTGTGTGAGAAAGAGGTTGGAACACGCATTAACCAACATCGTTCCTCATCGCCATGACAGCAGAAGGGGGATGCTTCTCAAAGTGTGGTGCAGGTCAGGAGTCAGGCTCAGTTTAATTTAGACGCTCGGGGCTCGACCCCAAAACCATTTTAATCAACAGTTTTTAAAGCAAGACACAATGAGGTCGGAGTTTGAGCACTTGCATCCGCCAGCTTGCTCTTTTGGTCATGAAATAAGTGAGTAATCATTATATATATCATTTTTATCTTGTCAGAATTATTGGTATTGCCATTGTAACGAATAAGAAGTCACAGACAAGGAATTTGCTTTGGCTCGAGGTGCAAACAAGAGTTAAAAGTAAGGCATGTATACAAAATCTTCATAACATTTCATAAGATTACCAGTACGTACAAGAGCACGTACACACAAAATCAAAATGTTGAAAAAAACATTAAAATCATAAATAATCAGCCTGCTTTTAAAGTGAGTGCATGAACACAGGCCTTGAATCTGCAAGTGAATGATAAGTGTGGGTTCTTTCTCTTACAAAACAACCTGCTTACTTTTCAACAGTCAATTCATTAACAAACCCATTCAGCTGCTATTATGTATATGACAAAGTTCAAGGCATCAAAAACGCCATCATCTCCACAACAAAACAGCAAGGCTTTCTGGAGGTAAACTCCTGGATGCACTACCGTTCTGAAAAGTCTGTTATTTTCTCTCATGCAGAGTAAGTAAATTTTTACAGACCAAGGTCACCCAAAGCGCCTTACAATGTTCAGAGTTTAGATATGGTTCCATTCTCTCCACACACAGTGATGACGGAAGTGGGATGCCGAACACACTACAGTACCACAGGATGCCAAAGTACCAAACAACTATCGTCCTATCTCAAAGTTTATGGCAGATTCTACAAACAGCTTATCACATTTCTTACAATCAACAACTCATTTAATATGTTCCAGTCTGGATTTAGACCCCAGCACTATTATAGTCTCATTATTATTGTTTATGGGCATAAAAATATCAAAGGAAATGCAATCATAACAAACACACATGAGCCATTGCTGCATAAGAGGCAGATGACCAATGTCCATAAATAATGTTAATAAATACATACAGCAGATAAAGTGCCTTGCGAAAGCATTCGGCCCCCTTGAACCTTTCAACATTTCGCCACATTTCAGGCTTCAAATTAAAAAATGTGTCAAGAATCAACAAGTGGGACACAATCGTGAAGTGGAACGAAATTTATTGGATTATTTAAACTTTTTTGACAAATAAAAAACTGAAAAGTGGGGCGTGCAATATTATTCGGCCCCCTTGCACTAATACTTTGTAGCGCCACCTTTTGCTGCAATTACAGCTGCAAGTCGCTTGGGGTATGTCTCTATCAGTTTTGCACATCGAGAGACTGGAATTCTTTCCCATTCTTCCTTGCAAAACAGCTCGAGCTCAGTGAGGTTGGATGGAGAGCGTTTGTGAACAGCAGTCTTCAGCTCTTTCCACAGATTCTCGATTGGATTCAGGTCTGGACTTTGACTTGGCCATTCTAACACCTGGATACGTCTATTTGTGAACCATTCCATTGTAGATTTGGCTTTATGTCATTGTCCTGTTGGAAGATAAATCTCCGTCCCAGTCTCAGGTCTTTTGCAGACTCCAACAGGTTTTCTTCCAGAATGGTCCTGTATTTGGCTCCATCTATCTTCCCATCAAATTTAGCCATCTTCCCTGTCCCTGCTGAAGAAAAGCAGGCCCAAACCATGATGCTGCCACCACCATGTTTGACAGTGGGGATGGTGTGTTCAGGGTGATGAGCTGTGTTGCTTTTACGCCAAACATATCGTTTTGCATTGTGGCCAAAAAGTTCTATTTTGGTTTCATCTGACCAGAGCACCTTCTTCCACATGTTTGGTGTGTCTCCCAGGTGGCTTGTGGCAAACTTTAAACAAGACTTTTTATGGATATCTTTGAGAAATGGCTTTCTTCTTGTCACTCTTCCATAAAGGCCAGATTTGTGCAGTGCACGACTGATTGTTGTCCTATGGACAGACTCTCCCACCTCAGCTGTAGTTATCTGCAGTTCATCCAGAGTGATCATGGGCCTCTTGGCTGCATCTCTGATCAGTCTTCTCCTTGTTTGAGATGAAAGTTTGGAGGGACGGCCGGGTCTTGGTAGATTTGCAGTGGTCTGATACTCCTTTCATTTCAATATAATTGCTTGCACAGTGCTCCTTGAGATGTTTAAAGCTTGGGAAATCTTTTTGTGTCTGTTATGTTTGGGCACCTTTTCCCCCCTTTTGGTTTTATCTTATCTTTTTTTATCCAGGTATTTTTTGGGTTTTATAGTTATTTTTGTAAGATTGTGTTTTGTATAAGTATATTTTATAGGTTTTTGTAACTTATTTTGTATATTTTGCAGCTCGGGTCGGGAGTATAAGAAGCGCTATCCTGGTACACTCCCGCCCCTCTCTGCTCTCCGCCTTTTGCAAACACCTGCTGAGGTGAGCGTGCACGCGCTGCGCGCTCCCTCCTAGTCCTGGTTTGCGGCCTCCCCAGACGCCGCATGGTTTGGTTGTTTCTTTAGCCATTAGGTTAGCATTTTTTCCTTGTCCTTATTTTTGTTTGATCTGGTGGGTCCGGTGGTTACATTTTCGTTTGAGGGTGTAGCTAGTTGGGTTTTGTTTATTCTTTAGTTAGGGTGCCGGCATCAGATCCGGACGGCCCTGTATAGGGTTGGTTCGGTGTCGGCCCATTTTTGTTTGTTTTGGCTGGCCCACCAGGTCCACCTTTAATTTGATTACTTTGGGTTTTTGTATTCTGGACACGGGGTTGGTTTGATTTAATATTCATATTAATTAATAATAACAAACTAGAGTTCATGTTGTTCATTTATGTATAAATAAAATCATTATTTTAAAAAAAGTTTAAATTATCCAATAAATGTTGTTCCACTTCACGATTGTGTCCCACTTGTTGTTGATTCATGACAAAAATTTACATTTTATATCTTTATGTTTGAAGCCTGAAATGTGGCGAAATGTTGAAAGGTTCAAGGGGGCCGAATACTTTCGCAAGGCACTGTATATCCTGGATCATCACTGTCCTTAGACCCTCCTGCATGGACAATAAACCACGAAGAAACCCAATGAGAAAAAGTGAGAAACCCCAGGCGGGCCCATACTGAGAGAGGAATCTGCTCCCACGGACAGACGAATAAGTTTTAACTTCCTTTCCTTCTCCCAGCATGCACCACTAACACAGCCACAGTCAGCTGAAAATATTGGACACGACTTGATATTTGACTGTAAACCTCCGCGGGCTTTATTTAATTTAGCGCAGTGGCCAGATTCGGCTGTGTTAACAACCGTAATAAACAGAGAGAGCCGTTTGCACACCAGCTGCCTCCGTGACGGCACCAGGAGACACAAACCAGCGTTTGGCGTTCGCACTGACGCTGAGCCCCAGAAGAGCTGCAGGCACATTTGTCACCGTCTGCTCTAGCCGGAGTGAGCAGGAGCTCCGGCAGCGTAAGTGGGAGGCATTACAGATATGATACTTATACACGGCTGGAGGGCTGACACCGGAGAGCACACGGGAGACTTTTTAGGAAAAGAGGCAATCTGGAGGAAAGAGAGGGACTGAGGGCAAGGGAGATAAGAGGGAAGTGTTGTGTGGATTTAAGGAATATCCGTGTATTCTTGGCTAAAACATGAGGTAGTGACAGATGGCAATGTCCCGTTAATGAACTGTATATAAACTGTATACATATGGCCGATGCTGACATGCTAGCTCAATGAAACCCAATAGGAAACTGCCTATAGACCAACTCCCTAGTAAGTAAGTAAACTCTCTAGTAAGTAAGTAAACTTTTTTAACTCAATAACTAATAATTTCTTCAAATTTTTTTCTCTTTTTGTTGTAGAATGTGTGAGATACCATCCTGAACAGCAAATGAGTAACATTTTCAAATAGAGCAAACCTCACGAGGAAGCACCTCAACCCCTCGAATATAGTAATAATTAATATATTGACGCCTTTTACACACCATACAAAAGAAAAAAACAACAACACACAATATAAAATACACAGAATAATATACATTTAAAATAATACAAAGACTAAGCCAATTATAAAAAGATTGTAAAAGATTTAAAAGACATTATCACAATAAATCCGACTAAAGCACTAAACCACAGATTTAGGCCTAAAATGGTTTACTTTTGGTTTACGTGGGTTCGAATCCACCACGACCCATGTCATCTGCTCCCTCTGATGTCTGCTGTTGTTGTGTCCCTGGGCAAGACACTTGACCCCACATTGCCTGAAGCCCCCGCTGAAAGACCAAAGTCATGTCTTCAATCATGGAGAAGCCATCATCCCGTGGACTCACCACCTGCAGGAGGATCAGCGAGGGACTGGTGCTCTGAGACTTGGGTGGCAGCTCTGAATGCCACCCCCCAATCCAGAAATGGAATAATAAAGGGGTAGAAAGTGACATGGTTTACTTTTACATGGAAGTCAATAGGGGCCAGAGAGAGATGGAGCAAAACTTTCTACAGAATAGCACTCTCGCTTCTCAGTAAGAAGGAACAGGGCCTTTCTGAGTGGAGTTTGTATGTTCTCCCTGTGTCTGTGCAGGTTTACTCCGGGCGCTCAGTTTTCCCTACCACTGTATAAGCTCTGAATGTAATGAGTGAATGAATGGTGTTTGGTTAGAGGCTTTGATGCTCCAGTGTGTTCCGAGTCTCGCTTCCGTCATCCCCGTGTGGAGAGAATGGAACAATATCTGAACTCTAAACATTGTAAAGCACTTTGGGTGACCATGTTCTGTAAAAATGGTTAGCATGTGTTTACAGTCAATGTTTCAGAGCCACTCTCTTCCAATAGCTTCTATAATACTATTAGATGCAGCACATCACTGCTGTAGGGAATGTGATGCTGATTCCTTATTGAGTGAACAGAGGATTGGAGGATGGACGTCACTCACATCTCAGCTCGATCCGGATGAAATCTTTGATTCCCAGGTTTTCCAGGAAAACTCCGGAGGACGAGGACGTTTTGAAGAAGAAGGAGATGTCGGCGTTGAGCTCTCCGTGGAACGTGGGGAAGTGCAGGTACGACGTCTCTTTGTCAAAGAACGCAGCATTCCAAAAGTTTCCTGCAAAAAACACAAAACTTGAAATGGGTAAAGAGGTATTAGTCCTGGATCTACAGCCACAGTACTGGATCTACAGTCTCTCTCTCTGATATCTCTGGTCTCTCTCTCTCTTTGGTCTCTCTCTTCCTCTCTCTCTGGGCTCTCTCTGATCTCTCTCTCTCTGGCCTCTCTCTTTCTCTCTCTCTGGTCTCTCTCTGGTTTCTTTTGAAAGGCCTGTTTTTGAACGCCTCATGTTTTCAGCCTCAGACGTCATCTCTCCTCCCGCAGAATCAAACTTGTACATTTCTGTTCTCTTTGAAGTTTGGGAGAATAAAGCTGATTATAATAGCAATATTGTGGTCAAAACACAAATCCAGGCAAAAGCTTATTCTCTCACAACAAAGACGTTTGTTGTGAGATTTGTTCCGTGATCTATCTCCACCGGACGGTAATTTATTTAAACAGCGAAAGCAGCAATTAGCAGCAATTAAAGGAGGGAGGATTTATCAGCGACAGAGTTTATTCTGCTGCATTTTGGTGAGAACTTGTTATTAAAGATCATAAAGTGATGGTTTTTTATATTGCCAAGCTGCTGCTAATTAAGCAAAGTCATTCACTGGTAATGAGTGGAACAGTGATGTGCATTCTGCGGCGCTTTAAAACTGCACGGAGCCGTTTGAAATTAGGGCTTGTGTTTAAACAATAGGAAAACGCAATAACGACAAATTACAAACAGCTGTAATGGTGTAATTATGGGATTTTAAGTTATTTTTGCTCATGGCTCGGGTTCTTGAGCCATGGGGCTGTGGACTTGGACTTAAGGATGGACTTTACTATATGACCAGTGGTTTACAGGGCAGCACGGTGGCAAAAGAAGGATTTGAATCCCAGTCGGAACAGGGCCGACTGATTGGGGTTTGCAATTTTTCCCCTGTGTCCTCCGGGTCCCCTACCACTTAAACATGTCTAATAGTTCAATTATAATATGTCAAGGTATCATTAAATGGCCCTAATCTGTCAAACTGTTGACTGATCACAGTAGTTTAGCCGAGATATTTGGATTTTAAAAATTACTTTTACAGCCCCTAAATCTTGTTATTGTTTCCATTTTGATGTCCCGCCCTTCACCGTTTTACCAATCAGAAAGTCCGTGATCCGGGTTGCCAGAACTACCGTGTCGAGCTAATCTCACTGGAAAAGTAACATGTGGCTGGAGGATTAGAAAAGGTCTGGTTATGATTCTCAAAACATTAATGACTAAACAAGGAATAAAGCCAGGATTTCTAGCTTTGTGAAAATAGTGCAGGTTATAGATTTGCCATGTGCTGTCTTCACTGCTCCTTTACTGCTCCTGCTGTTCATACGCACTGTCCCATCCAAATAAAAACAAACAGATAAAACAAATAGAAATAGACTCACGATCTCCATGGCAACGCAGCGGTCCCACCATGTAGGCTGCCTCAGACTCGGGCCGCTGCACGTCGCCGATGAGCAACGCACGAACCGGGAGAGTGTCCTTCTGCACCAGCAACCCAGAGTCATTGGTCCTGAGGCAGAAACGCACAGATACACTCGGTTATCGATCTGTCTGTCTGATTATCTTTCTAATATATATATTTTTTTGAATGGGACAAACAAAAACAACATTACAGTGATATTTCCCGCAAAGTCCACATGATTGCACACATCCGGTCAGTCTCCACTTGTGCTACTTGCTGCTAAAGCCTCCTATGGACAAGTGTTGAAAGGCATCATAGTCTTTCTGGTCACTCTTTCTCGTCTCCCTTGACTCTCTCTCTCTGGTCTCTCTCTTATTCTGCTCCTTCACTCTGGCCTTTCTCTCTCTGCTCCTTCTCTCTGGTCTCTCTGGGCTCTCTCTCTCTCTCTCTAGTAAAGGCAAAGGTAAAGGTGCACTTTATTGATCCCCATAGGGCAATTCATCCTCTGCATTTGACCCATCCTGATGCCGCTAAGGCTTAGTCTCTCGCTCTCTCTCTCTGCTCTCTCTCCCTGGTCTCTCTCTCGCTCTTGGCTCCGTCTCTCTCCTCTCTCTGGTCTCCTTTCTCTCTCGGTCTCTCTCTTTGGTCTCTCTCTCTGGTCTCTCTCTGGTCTCTCTCTCTCTCTCTCTCTCTCTCTCTCTCTCTCTCTCTCTCTCTCTCTCGCTCTCTCTCTCTGCTCATTCTCCCTGGTCTCTCTCTCTCTGCTCCTTCTCTCTGGTTTCTCTCTCTCCTCTCTATCTTTCTCTGGTCTCTCTCTCTCTGCTCCTTCTCTCTGGTCTTTCTCTCCTCTCTCTCTCTCTCTCCCCCTGGTCTCTCTCTCTCTCTCCTCTCTCTCTTGCCTCTCCAGCCTCCCTGCTCCTCTGTTTATTTTGTTGTTGTGATAACATCAGGCAAGCAGTAGACGATCCTCAGCAAATGGTGGTAAATCCAATCAAATATACATGCAGGTAAACAAAGACGAGAACGCGGAGAGAGCACGAAGGGACGCGACCCAGATAAAGCGCTCACAAACACATTTTTATGGTTTTATGGTTTTATGATCAAAGCCATGAATTATGCAGAGGAACAATATGATTTTCCAGAGAGGTGCTCAAACAAATTGTTTAATTTAAATCGTTAGTACCGACTAATGCAGTCCGTCTGGTGAGGAGGGAGTCCCTCTCTCTCCGGTCTCCCTCTGCTCTCTATATGGTGTCTCTCTCTCAGCTCTCTCTCTCTCTGGTCTCTCTCTGTTCACTTTCAGGTGTCTCTCCGGTCTCTCTCTGTTCTTTCTCTGGTCTCTCTCTAAACTCTCTCGGGTGTCCCTCTGGTCTCTCTGTCTCTTGGGTGTCCCTCTGGTCTCACTCACTAGTCTTTCTCTGGTCTCTCTTTGGCCTTTCTCTGGTCTCTCTCTCTCTCTGTCTGGAGTCCCTCTGGTCTATCTCCCTGGTCTCTCTCTGGTCTCTTAAACACAGTGTGATATTTTACTTTTGTAGGTGGTCTCTCGATGATGTCTTTATTCTCTTTCTGGTCTCACTCTGGTCTCTCTCTCTGGTCTCTCTCTCTGGGCTCAGTGGGACATAGTTATAAAGGTAAATATAAATATGTTAAAGTGGCCTGTTTGTCCTGTACTTGGATGGACAGACACATAGGTACTGACGAGTGTTTGAGGGACCGAAACATATGTACTGTTTGATAGTGTTTGATGGTGCTTCTGTACCAGTGTTCCCGGTCCGCGTCACAGTTGCAGTAGTGGGAGGGGTCCAGGCAGGTGTGCTGAAGTCCACAGGAACACTGTCTGCTCCCAGGGACCGCCCCGCCCCAGAAGACCTGCTCCTGGCCAGACCCAGGACCTCCCACCCACCAGCTGAAGGGGGAGCCATCTGGGGGGGAGAAGAGAAGGGAGAGAGATTAGAACCATCTGAGGGAGAGAGGAGAATAGAGATATTAGAGCAATCTTTGGACGGAGAGGAGAGAGATTAGAGCCATTGAGAGAGGAAAAGGGAGAGAGAATAGAGCCGTCTGAGGAAGAGAGGAGAGGGAGAGAGAATAGAGCCGTCTGAGGGAGAGCTAAAACTGTTTAATGTAACAAGTTTGTTGAAAGGCTAATGCTAATGACCAAATGCTAACTGCTCCAAGTGTCTCTCTATGGTAACTAGAACTAGCTCTTCTCCAGAACCAGACCAGAACCAGTCCAGAACCAGTCCAGAACCAGTTCAGACCCAGCCCAGACCCAGCCCAGACCCAGTCCAAACCCAATCCAGCCCCAGCCCAGACCCAGCACCTTGAAAAGGGGATTCAGCTGCCAAAGAAAGTTGGTTGCCAAGTCTGGGAGATAAAGATAAAACTACTCACCTTTACAAAACAAAACAAACATTTCCCCCAAAAATAATGACATAAAGATATATGACATTTAAACACAGAGAAGGTCAAACTGAGTAATGATGCATCTAGAACAAAAACCCAAAGTTCCAGTGTTTCATATTCATTATTCACTGTATTGACGTCTGTTCAGAGGCTGAGATCAGCATTTTTCTTTGTTTGTTCTTCAAACTCAGGTGTTTGATGAAAAAGATTTAAACAAACCGGACTTAGACTGAGCTCTGCAGAATCCACCTCTTCACTCTCTCCACAGAAAAAAAAACACAGAGAGGGAGAGAGAGAGAGACACCAAAGAGAGACCAGAGAGAGAGAGAGACCTGGGAGAGAGCAGAGAGAGACCAGAAAGAGTCCAGAAAGAGAGAAGAGAGCGAGCAGAGAGAGAGACCAGAGAGGCACCAGAAAGAGAAAAGAGAGAGAGCAGAGAGGAAGAAGAGAGAGAGAGACCAGAAAGAGAAAAGAGAGAGAGCAGAGAGGAAGAAGAGAGAGAGAGACCAGAAGAGACCAAAGAGAGAACAGAGAGTGAAACCAGAGAGAGACCAGAAAGATAGCAGAAAGAGAGAAGAGAGAGACCAGAGAGAGACAAAAGAGAAAACAGAAGGAGAACAGAGAGAGACCAGAGAGACAGCAGAAAGAGAGAAGAGTGACTAGAGAGCAAGCAGAGAGAGATCAGATCGAATCACAGTCAGTTCCCAGCCTTGCTCTTTATCTCGTACATTATGAAGTCTCTTTTCTTTACAGCGTCAGACATAAACGACCGAGTGTAAATAAGACTCTGAAACAATAAAAGCAGAGCAGACGCAGAACCCTGTCACAACACGATAGCTCCGCTGCTCTGGGGAACGATCTCTTCTCACAACAAAAGGTGAGACGCAGAGACAGAAAGACAAGGATGAGGCCCCATCGGCTTCGTCAGCGTTCATGCAGAAGTAGTTCAATGAGGAGCGAGAAAAAATGTTCTAAATCTCACTGTCAGACTGCGATCCCCTACAGAAAGAGGCATCAGGAGTCTGTGTTTGCTATATACTAGAGATGATTCTGATATTTAGAGAGAGAGGCGGTTATTAGTTACAGACCAAGTGAAAAAAAAGAAAAAGTACTTTAAATATCCCTGGTTTGTGACAGGGGTGATGTGTTCTAAATATAAGCCAAGGTAAGGCTTATGCTCTCAGTTTTAAGGCCATAAAACCCTCACACACTGCCGAAGTGAGAGAGACCAGAGATAGAGACCAGAGAAAGACTCGAGAGAAAGAGATCAGAGACAGAGAGAGACTATAGTGAGTGACCAGAGAAAGTCTAAAGAGACCAGAGAATGTCCAGAGAGATTAGAGAGAGACCAGAGAAAGTCTAGAGAGAGACTAGAGAGAGACCAGAGAATGCCCAGAGAGAGACCAGAGAAAGACTAGAGAAAGAGACCAGCAAGGGACCAGAGAAAAATACAAGAGCGAGACCAGAGAGAAACACAAGAGAGAGACAAGAGAGAGAGACCAGAGAGAGACCAGAAAGAAAGACAAGAGAGAGAGAGCAGAGAGAGACTAATGAAATACTAGAGTGAGATATTAGAGAGACCAGAAAGAAATCAGAGAAAGACTAGAGTGGGAGACCAGAGAGAGCCAATTCTACAAATACAGGTCTTTTCATTTTCTGTGAAAATGATAATTCTCTTGCTGTAATGTGACTGGTTTAGACCTGGGGCGGTTTTATGTCGACTACGATATGTCATCAAAATCATACTCCTGACAAAATACTATTGAGTAGATTGCGATGAGTTACATGCAGCAAAAATGCCAGAATGCACAAGTTTTTCCAAGTTGTTTTCCCTGTATTTTCAAACACATAAATTCAATGGTTTTAATACTTTCTCAAACCCTGTAGGAATCCTGTGAAGAAGTTATTTCGCTGTTCTGCTGTTTACAGAACAGATGATTTGTGAATGTGGATGTGGGTGTGCTGGGGGGAGGCAGGTGGGGGAGATGGGGGAGGCAGGGGGAGCTGGGTTGATGGATGTAAGAGCCAGCGCCGCGGGCAAATACGGCAGCTGTATCTAAAGCGGTGACCCGGGGATCGGCAGGTGAACTGGAGACTCCAACAAATCTCCATTTTACAGAAACATTCTCAAACTTTCTTTACATAAGTCAGCAAGAGTAGTAATAGATAGAGACCAGAGAGAGAAACCACACGTAGAATAGAGAGAGAATCCAAAGAGAGACAAGAGAAAGACCAAAGAAAGACCCGAGAGGGAGAGACCAGAGAGAGAGACCAGAGAGAGAATCCAGACAGAGACCAGAGAGCGAGACCAGAGAGAGAGAGACAAGGAAAGACCAGAGAAAGACCCGAGAGAGACAAGAGAGAGACCAGAGAGAGAGACCAAAGAGAGAGGCCAGAGGGAGACCAGAGAGAGAACAGAAGCAGAAACCGGAGAGAAACCAGAGGGAGACCAGAGAGGTAGACCAGAGAGAGAGACCAGAGAGATAGACCAGAGAGAGAACAGAGAGAGGGACCAGAGAGAGAGACAAGAGAGAGAAACTAGAAGGAGAAACCAGAGAGAGACCAGAGAGAGAGACCAGAGAGAGAGACAAGAGAGAGGCCAGAGAGAAAAACCAGAGGGAGAATAGAGAGAGACCAGAGAGAGAAACCAGAGAGAGACAAGAGAAAGACCAAAGAAAGACCCGAGAGCGAGAGACCAGAGAGACCAAAGAGAGAGACCAGAGAGAGACCAGAGAGAGAACAGAGACAGGGACCAGAGGGATAGAGGTCTCAAAACGCCTTGAACCAAAACAAGAGACGAGATTTTAAAGACGGGAGACATGACAGAGACGTACATTCATGGATCTGAACTTAACTGAACGTATCTGTCTCCAGCTCCGAATACACAGAATCAATCATTCCTCAGGTCTTCAGCAGTACGAGAGAGATACACACTGCTCCTGTGACGCAACAATCTCGAAATCTCACTCTCACCTTTGTCTAACCTGCGCAAATATTGATTCACCCCATCTGCACCCACGCAGGGCTGAGACGCAGTACAGGAGGGACGACTGAAGACAGAGCGTTTGGAATTGGGGTTGGCTTTTTTCTGTTGTAATGAAATTGGTTTGTTTCAGGGTCACTCTGGTCCCTTGTGATGTGTTCCATGAAAAAGACACAATAAGGTAAATCCTCTCAGTAGCAGCTTTATTACACTTTTCTATCCACCTGAACTCACCACTGCTGAAGAGAGAGAGATCACAGAGAGAGAGCAAAGAGAGAGACCAGAGAGAGTGTGTAGTGTCTGCTATCATATTCTTAAGTTCTACATACATTCTTGTGATGTTATATGTATTAAAATATGCCTGGGACATTTGAGCCCAATACAATACAACAATACCGTGGGCAGTATGATGGCTGAGTGGATAGCACTCTCGCTTCTCAGCAAGAAGGTCCTGGGATAGAATCTCGGTTGGAACAAGGCCTTTCTGAGTGAAGTTTTCATGTTCTCCCCGTGTCTGCCTAGGTTTCCTCTGGGTGCTCCCTATTCCCCTACCACTAAAAACATGTACAATAGGTCTTGCATGCGCCTCCTGTACTGGCGACTCCTCCCTGTGTGGAGTGGGAGGACAAAGGCCCACCGTTGTAAAGAGCTTTGTTACTCTGGTCTGTGAAAGGCGCTATATAAATAACGATTACTTACTTACAACAGTGTATTATGGCTCTAATCATGAGGATCATATGAAGATCATATGAATGCATGTGTTAAGGTGTGATATCTTGAGACTTAACTATCTGCAAAGACGTCAGTGTTTGCTGCAGTCTTGGTCACTTTGCTAATCGTCATCTTGGAGCTAGGACCTGGGTTTAGTCTGTAATTTGCAGGTTCTCTGTATTTCATACATTCAACTTTGGTTAATGATACATAAATCAGAAGTCTGGTCATTTTTCAATTCATTTTCACTGGTTATGCAGAAGGGAACCCCTTTCAAGCCAAATGATAAGTTACCACAAGAGCAAAGAGAGAGACCAGAGAGAGATCAAAGAGAGAGACCAAAGAGGGAGACCAGAGAGAGAGAAAGAGAGACTTGAGAGAGAGACCAGAGAGAGAGAAAGAGAGACTTGAGAGAGAGACAAGAAAAAGACCAGAGAGTAGAGAGAGACCAAATAAATTAATATTATGTTTGTAAAACTATTATTGATCTTGTTGAGTATTGTCCCATTGTTGGAGAAGTCTCGCAGCCGTTGGTGGAATGGGAAATACTCCTCTCCATGTACATGTAACAGATGTTTTAATTAGTTTCTAAATTAACCAAATCAGTGATCTACAGGCTCCTCTCGGTCTTCGCAATACAGATCCCTCTGATGCCAAGAGCCCACCGCAATCTCTGCTTAAACGGCCAGAGCTCGGAAAGTAATCACGGAACTGGAATGAGAAAATATTCAAATTCTCTCGATTTGTCATGTTTAATAAGTCATATCTTTGGTGCGGTTCCAGCGGTGGTGTGCGTGGAGCTGGACGGAGATGGGAGAGTCCGAGGGAAATGGACCGGAACATTCGGTCTGCGGCAGAGCGATAAAGAGAAGCCACACCGGGGCGCGCCGATAGGACGGCTACACGTGTCACATACAGGAGTCTGGGGGAGTATTCTGGGCATGGGGTTCCAACTGTGCGTGTGTGTGTGTGTGTGTGTATGTGTGTGTGTTTGTATGCAGCGGCTGGACACTGCACAAGGGTGTGTATTCAAATAGTTATTTTTATGTATTATTTAGACTTTATATACGAACCCTGGATTTACAGCCTCCGTCCTGGATCTACAGCCTCAGTCCTGGATCTACAGCCTCAGTCCTGGATCTACAGCCTCAGTCCTGGATCTACAGCCTCAGTCCTGGATCTACAGCCTCAGTCCTGGATCTACAGTCTATTGGTCTCTGCCTCTTATAATCTAATGTCTTTAAGTGTTTGATTCTCAACAGTTTTGTCTGTAATGCTCAGACTCCCAACAAGAGGCCAGTCCCTGCCCTCCTCAGAGTCAACATTTACACCAGGACCTAGATGTAGCAAGACACTTCCCCCCACATTAGAATGAGTCTGGTGGTGGTGGGAGAGGCCGATGGCACGGACTGGTTGCCTTGCTTCTGTCAGTGTGTCTTAGGGCAGCTGTGGCTACAGTAGTAGTTTATCATCACTGTGTATGAAGTGAAAGAATAATGACATGTGAAGCATCTCAACCACTGGGAACCTTAAAACACACAACAATTTTGAGAGGAATTAAAACTCTCTACACAAACTCTCTACACACAGGTCAATGTTGATGAACGATAATACAATCATTTACGAATCAAACAAGAGTCTTTTTAACTCTGACCTGATCGTGTGTGACTGTGAAAATGATAACAGATGCAGAATGGCGGAAGTACCAGGGGTGTTGAGGAGGCGGGACTTCTTGCAGTAGTAGGACAGCTCCTGCTCGCAGTGCTCTGATTGGTTGATGAGGCCCATTAGCTGCTCCTCCTCGGCGCTGTAGTGGAAGTGGGCGGTGTGCTGTGGTTCCCACGGCGACGGGCTGATCCTGGTCAGCTCCGTGTTGTTGTGTTGGAGGACAGCCCAGGCTCGCTCCTCTGCAGACACATTCATGTTAATTATAGTTACGTCTGGGAAACAACCAGAAACCCGACACTACTGGAACTCCCTAAGCAGTCAATTTGACGGCTCCCATTCACTTCAATTCTATGTATTGTTGTATCCCCCTAAATCACAACAGTATTTATCTCGGTGGACTTTTTAAAAAAAACTGTCAATTTGCCAACACAGATCAGAGAAACAAACAGTTCAAACACAGGAAATGCAACGATAACAAATGTCCACACATTTCCATTCAAACTAATAAAATTCTGAAAAAAATCCCCAAAAAATAGTTTTAGGTTTTAACTACTTTGCAAATGTATGTTTTTATTAGTGCTAGAAATTTTTATTATAACTTGAACTACTGATAAACTATGCTAAAGACAAAATGCTAGCTGCTAACAGTAAACGGTGTGTTGCCATGGTAACTAGCACTCTCTCACTGCTTCAAACTCACCAGTCCAGTACATACACAAAGAGACACAGGTACATAGACACAGACACATATAGACGCAAACATACAGGTGAAACACATGAGGGCAGACAATTAACACGGGAACAGGATAGGAAGTAAAACTAAAACAAAGGGAGAACGATTTCAAAACAAAAACAAAAAACAAAATAACAAAAAACCCACCATGAAAAAGAAATCATGAAAATAATGACTTTTATGAACATTTGTGGACAGTAGTTATCCTGTTATCCATGTTTTTGCATTACTTTTACTACTTTTACTTTTACTGCTTTTACTTCTGCATTACTTTTTTAACTGTTTGATTCTCTGATCTGTTGTTGGCAAATCCACAACTTTAATAAGTCGTCAGCCCTTTATTTCAAATCAACTGTTGAGTTGAATTGAACTGAAGAGAATGTTTTAAATAGAGATGATTTGATCCTAGTCTGTGTGAAAGACACTTCTGCCATCACTGGTCATGAGAGAAAATAATGTTTTCAGCAGCAGTCTTCACCCTCTCGTCTCACCTGTGATGTTGCAGAACACCAGCTGAGGCCTCACTGGTCCACTACCGTCCACGTCCACATGGTAGTGTCCGCTGGTGTTGCCTCGGTGCTTGTACGCCTCACACGACTGTGTTCGTACGCCGCTGTGGAACCAGAACCACAGTCTCTGTCAGTAATGAGGAAGTCTCAATCAGGGATCCGCAAGAGGCTTTAGGGCATTTAATACAACAATTATTCATATATATATATATATATATATATATATATATATATATATATAATATATATATATATATATATATATATATATATATATATATATATATATATATATATATATATATATATATATATATATATATATATATATATATATATATATATATATATATATATATATATATATATATATATACTGTATATATATATTAGCATTTATTCATTGTCTTTTTTTAATGCATTTTTAATTGTGTTTTCTGTATGTGTTTCTTGTGCTGCAGTACAGTGTTCATGGTCCAGAGCAAAGAGGATTCATGGTCCAAACCAAGCAGATCGGGTCAAAATCCATCGGAGGAATGCCAACTTTTTGAAAAATGCTAATGAAGCATTCAGCATTTTACTTTGAACAGAGAAAATGGTCAGAACCAAGCGGCTACTCCACCTCTGCTGCTGTGACCCGTCCTGTTCCACCCAGAGACTTCTCCACCTCTGCTGCTGTGACCTGACAGGCTGTTGCTGATTATTGCTATATCTTTTGAGAATGCAATTTTTTATTGTGCGTGCTGAATTTCTTCTTAAGGGATCAGTAAAGTATCTATATATCTATCTATCTGAATTGCTCTTGAGGGGCACTTTGAATTTCCTTGAACACAAAATGTGCTATGCAAATTATTTTTTATTGAATGATTGATTGAAGGCGAAAAAGTGAGAGTGAGAAGTTAATATGGGTTGCTATGGCAAGAAAACAAACAAAGCTATCTATTTTGTTCTAAACATTGAGTCTGGAACACAAGTAATGATACTCATTGAATAAACATTTCGTAGTTTTGGTTTAGTCCAAGCAGACTTTGTATGGAAAATTATAAAAGTCAAGTTCTATAAAACAGCTCTATTGGAAATAGAGCGTTTAGTTACGAAGCTCTATACACTGTGGAAAACTTCCCCATGAGCACTTCACAATGAGCTTCATGGAGCTAGCACGTTAGCATCGTCCATCTGTATACATGCAATGAGATGGAGAGACGTCTTATGAATGCAAACGCCAGGATCCTGATTGGATGCAATTTTAAAATACTTAATATACAGCTGAGACGCCTACCCATTGGTTTAAACAAAGTCAAGTAAGGAGTGTCTTTAAAGGAAACCTAAACACCTGTGCCCGGCCTTATTCCACCCACATTTGAAAATTCTCTCTAAAAAGGACGTTGGCCGGAGGATCAGGGGACAAGAAGGGGGGCAGACAGATGGGCGTGGTTTGGGCTGTGATGTTGTTTGGGCCCAAACAAATCTGACAGTTTTCATTGGTGGCTTAAAGCAATAGTTTACATACCATAAATTCTCTTTCCATAGTTGTTTACACACTAAGATAATTGTATTGATAGACACCTGAACCTAAGCCACAGAATTATCTTAGCAGTAGGGGCGGTCAACTGATGTAACTCGATTTGAAACCTGTAGATGTCGCCAGAATACTCCAACTCATTCCGGGGGCCTTCAAATGTAGCGCCGAACAGACGGTTTTAAGCTCAAGAGTGGGATTATATCTAATTTGCACTAAAATGTCAAAAAATGTACCATGATATGTAGAGAGCACTATAAGAAACATATTTATGCAGTTTATGAGTTTAAAAAGTTGATTTGGGGTTTAGTTGTCCTTTAACATCTCGTCAGGTCAGCCGTACTGTCATGGCCGCCGTCTCCTTGGATTATATTGGACGAACCGTGTTAAATTTGTTAGCTGCGTTAAAAGATAATAGCGCGAGCGTAACGAGCAGAAGATGGATCCTCTGCAGTTCTGTCACGACCTGAACTTTTTCAATTATTAAACGCATTTGATAATGAAGCTCAGATAAGGTCTTGTTTTTCCATGGATCATTCTCATTACAGAATTATAATGAGGTAATTAGAGAGTTCCACGCAGCCAGCAGGTTTAATGTTGGGTTATTCTCATGTTTAATACAATAGGAGTAGACTACAACAGAGAGAGAGAGAGAGAGAGAGACACTCAACAATTGCTTATTTATAGTGAAGTGAAATTGGTTTTTGCTAATTCTTGTCCAGGCTTTTCCTCTGGTCAGTTTTACTTTTTGTATTTTTTAGCATTAACAATGCACTGTCGGAGAGTCGGTCCAACTAGGTTTTGTACCAGACTTTTAAACAGGAAGGGGTCAGAAGGTTCGTGTGAAGTCTCTGTATTAATATCAATTCAAATGTCTTGGTTAGCACTTGGTTGGCAACACAGTTAAATAAACAACTATCAACAGTAGCCTGAGCTCAAAGTGCAACAAGGACGAGAACAGGGGAGAAAAGCCATGGATTTAGTTCTGCAGTACTGGATCTACAGCCTCAGTCCAGGATCTACAGCCTAGGTTCTGGATCTACAGCCTCAGATCTACAACAACAACTCAAGAATGAGAGACAAAACGATTGACTCATTTTCAAATGATGGAAAATGTGAGTCTTCACAGTTAGCCCATTTCTCCTGCAGATCTCAGGCCTATCGGTGGGCAATACAGACTTTCAACTCCCTCCGAAGATGTTCTCTAGGCTGAGGTCCGGAGGGGAGGACCTGATGCTCCAGGACCTGAGGCTCTCGGACAAAAGATGGGAGCGAGTTCACCTACAGGCGGCGCATGGTTTTAGTGGTGGGGGAATCCGTAGGATTACACAGACACAAGGAGAACATGCAAACTCCACACAGAGAGGCCTGAAGGTGGAATCAAACCCAGACCGTTCTTGCTGTGAAGCTAACCACTCTGCCAATGCGCCGCCATGAGGTACATAGTGAAATTAGTAAAAGTTAATCATATTTGATGTTTGTTGTAAATAGTGTTTGCATTGAATACGGCAGGACACTTAGTATTTTTAACTGTTCTAAACTGCTCTTACAGGACCAATGAGATGGTGTAAAGTACAGGACAAGTTAAAAATCAGCCTCTTGTGCGTTATGCATAATCTATAGATGGCATATTTTTTTTATTTTGTTTTCATAATAAAAATGAAATGTTTCAGTTTTATGTTATTTTGTAAATATTTTTTACACTGTATGTTTGAAATGTTTTAATGAGAACTGATCCTCTGTGGAGTGGACCCAAGGACGACAAGCAAAAGTGGCATAAATGTAGGTGTCATGTGACCTTTTTGACAGTTATCTGTTAGGATTCAACAGACAGAGACGGATCGTGGTACGCCAAACTCTGGAAGTTTATTTAAGTTTCTCTCAAGTTCCACTGGTTTACTTTGTTTCTTTCTCTCAGACAGAATAAAGGCAGTACACAGTTTATATAGTCATTGTCACGTCACACATCGAAAGACATACGTGTCACAAAGAGACAGTCACATCATAGTCATAACATGGAGTCCTTGTAGAGTCCTTGTACAGTCCTGCACGTAGGCCATATTGCTATCTAATACTAACACCCTCCCCTTTGATCACATAATCACATGTGATCACTCAAATCGATCAATCAATAAAGTGGAAAAAGAAAAAAAAAAGAAAAAAAAACTTTAAAAATTATTAAAAAACAAAGAAAATGTATGCATTAAACTCATAATCATCCAAATCAATATCAGTGGATTTTATCCTCTATCCTGGGAAAAAATAAACAAAAACAAATCAAAAATAAAAACAAACAAACACTATTGGACACAGTACAACTCAGCAGATTCAGTCAAAACAGCATTTATTAGCATTTATTCTAATGCTAATTGTTTACACTACACTCATTTCACTGTATTATTATCACTATTCAATCTTACACTGTGTACTTTACTCTCTATTTACTATAGTTTAAAACTATTCTAATCTATTTACAGATATGTTTGCATATTTGCTTCTATTGAGCCATATTCTTAAGCTAATATTTTAATCTAATAAATCTCTCTATGGTATTATACTCTCATTATCAGTTTGGGATGAATGTACATCTTTAATCAAATTGGTATAATCCTTACAAGAGCTAATCTATTTTAGCAGGTTTGGGGTTGGGGTCAGTTATTCTACAATGGTGTTTGTGCTGGAAACTTCTCAATATCTAAATATCTACTATTTTGTTTTTGTGCTATACACAAATACATCAAAATACATCAAAATGCTTTTGAATCTCTGTTGGTTCTAATCTATCTCATTGATCTAGGCATTAATTTAGGCTACACTCATGAACTTTTTGCATTGTCAACATTCACAGATGTTTGAACACAAGTGAATTTGGCAAGTATCTAATAAAACTGTACATAAAACTGTAAGTAACTTTATCTACTTTTGAAGTAAATGTTTGTGAAATGGTCCCTTTACCGTTTGATATTAGCACTGGCTACTAATAATCTCTATTTTTGAAAGCATCTATGGTTGATGCATTTATCTATTTCTATTTCTACACTATTGTGACTCCAAAGCTCAGTTGCAGCTTGAGCAAAGGCATATTTCTAATTTGTGACTTCTGTCACTTTTAATGGCTGTAACATAACTCTGATTCTAATATTCTAGCTGCTCTATCAGAAGGATAACATTGTATGGTACTATTTTAACTCTTATGTGGAAATGTTTATGAAAAACAAAGGAAAGACAATTCTACTTTTTTACTACTATTTAACATCTAATAAAACGCTACAATACTCATACTTTATCATTTTCAAAGTTTTTGTCTGTCAGATGTCTGAATACTTAACATGTATATTGCATTTGGTCACAAGTTCTGGTTGTAGCAATAGCATCAGCAATAGACGATTTTTCATTGGCTGGTTCTTGTTCTGCAAATGTCTGTGTCCAATAGATCATCAGATGTCCAGAAGCTAGGGACAAACAAAAACAAAAGAAAGAATCATGAGTATCTCTCTCATTTAGCACTTATCAATGTATGATTTCAAAAATATAAACAATCACTCCCCAGGTTTTTCTCTCTCAGGTCCTCAGGTCCTCAAGGTCCCCTGAGGGTGAGTCTCAGTCGTCATCAGGTCAGGTCATATTTCGAGAGATGTCATGGTTTTGGTCTCTCCAGTTGGACATCGGATCTCCAGATACAGTCTTTTCACTTGAAGCACATCAGGTCATTTGCGATGCACTTCTGGTCAATGGTGCAGTGTCACAGTTCCTGTACACAGCTTGTTATGCAGTAGTTACTCTCTATGGTTAAGTCACTTTGATTCTAATGTAACACAATTTCTATTCCTGCTGTTGCTAATGTCCCTCAGACAAAAAGCAAGCGCAATGATTCAGTTTACTTCTCTAATTTGTGTTTTTATCAGATCTAATCCTAATCAATGTAATTACTACACACAGTACAAAATCAACAAATCAAAAGTGTCAGGACAGAGGTCAATTAGTCCATGACAATATAGAATTCAAATGAACATTTCTGGTCACAAAAAATACTGATTCAAGTGATAGACAATTAAAAATATGTGTTTACATTGGAGTAAACTTTTAAAATGCTTTTTTCTCATGTTCTGCTTTTTCATGTATCTATATGTAAATGTGAATGTGTGAGTGTATGAATGTATGTGTGTGTGTGTGTGTGTGTGTGTGTGTGTGTGTGTATGTAGGGTGTGAATTTTGGGGTTGTGTCTCCAGACTCCTCGAACCACCTGTAGGTCTCAAAGGTCACACTGTGGTGATGTAAACCAACTGGACACACTCCCAACTCTCATTCAGGTCTCTGCCTGATGCTCCACCCATCACGTCTCCAGAGACCTCTCTCTACCCCGGTCTCTCTCACACCCACTCAGTTCTGCAGTGGCGTGGGGAGGGGCAAGGAGGTGGCATTTTCCTTTGCTCTTTGATCTGTGACCTGTGGCTGGGTGGGCTTTGCTGTCCAGTGTCCACTCCAGCAGTCCAGTGACCCTGTACAGTGTGTGCCCTTGGTCCTGGAACACAACCTTAAGCCTAGCGTACATCGGACTGGCAACTGATTATATCCGTCGCATATGAGTTGCTGCCCCGCACACATCGACAATCTGACGAAAACGGGCAACTCCCAGTAGCAGACCAGTCTCGCGAA